GTTTGGCTGGGCAGTGAAATAGGCTGGCCTGTGTCACATGCTGGACAGATGTTCTACATTTTGCTGTCAATCTAATACGAATTGAGGCGGCACCATCCGGATCTTAATTGTGACAAAACTTCTCGGATTTGTCGGGGCGGATCTCGCTTTTAATTCGCGATGGGAGGGGGATGGTCTCCTAGTACGGTATTCACTCTATGTTCTTCCATGACTTCTGAGACCGTGTCAGAATGAATACTATTTAGTCTTGTATGATGGGCCTGTTGATCTAGTGGCTCTCTCTCTCTCTCTGAATCATGAGGTTGTCTATTTACCAGATGGTAATTGGGAGGCCTCTGTTTGCCAGGACTGACAGTACTGGAAGCTGCATAGTTTATGTTAGTGGTCTATGACCATGAGTAGATTTGTCATTAACAGAAAACTTTTAATCAACAATACTTTGTAATGTAACATTTGATTTATTTCTTTAAACCCTAACCGATAGCATGGTAAAGTCATTTCAAATAAGCATTCCCATCTCTGCATTTTGTGTAAATTACCCTGTCAAATTTCACTGCATAGAAGATAGGTTCCCATCTCTGATATGTGCATGTACAATGGATTTATAAATATTCATTTTGACAATGAGATATTTTCAAATGAAAATATAAACAAATGATTGCATGACTTTACCTTCCTAATTCTACCATGCCCGATAGTTTATGCAGTCTTAAAAAAAGGAAATATTTTAAATTGGCGTTTTTTGAATAAAGATTCGAAATTGAAATCGAAATATAACTTATTAATTGTATTTTTCACAAGATTTTGATTTTATTTGAAAAAAAATACTCGTTATATTTCACTTCAGTGAAATGCAGAAACAGGTTCTTAATGTTTTAAAATTCACTTCGTTGTATACCAGGCTGATTTGATTGAGCGTATATCAGATAAAAAAAACTGATTTATTTAATTTTCTAATCATAGTTTGTGCGCTTGATACCAACTTCTTGGGTAGCATTTTTTGAAAAATCTATGAAAATTCCGTTGAAATGAAAATTAATCTTTTTTATTATTATTATACGATGTTCATTTCGAAATTGCATAACGTCATTTCATGGCTTATGTTTACAAAAAATATATAACTCATCACCATTTCGTACGACCACATTACTTAAATAAGCCATGTCCAAACTTCGATCAGGTAATGTTTTAAAACTTTTGTTTTTATGGTGCAAACTATTAGTTTAAAATGTTAAAAATAAACCACCATAACTTGCACAATACCATTTTTATACCCTACACTACAAGGTGGTCAGGGTATTATGTCTTTGTGGAATTGTTTGTAACAGGCAAACGAAAACGAGATAGACCCATAGTTACTTTTGATGATCTGTATAGAATCACATTCTGAGTCGATTTATGCATGTCCGTCCGTCTGTCCATGTATTTTTGAAAACAAAGTACAGGTCGTATTTATTGCCCGATCCAGATGAAATTTTACACAAATAACTTGTTTGACCCAAGGCCGAAAGCTATTGAAATTGGAGACAATCGGTCAAAATTTAGATATAGCTCCCATATATTTGCTTTTTTATTGTTCACCAAACGTATAATATCAGCATTGGTCCTGAAATTAAGTATAACAAGTTTAATCGAAATCGGTTCAGATATAGCAGCCGTAATATGCACTTTGCAACAACGATATTTGGGGAAATATAATTAGAACAACTCAGAAATATTCTTGCTAAATTTTATCGAGACCGGTTAAGATTTGTGTATAGCTCCCATATATATATTCGTCCGATTTGCCTTTTATCGGACACCAAACGTGTAATATTTGCCCAAATGGAATGGAATTTGAGTCTAGAAACAAGTATGTCAAATTTGGTGGAAATCGGTTCAGATATAGTTATAGCTTCCATATATATTGTTCACCCGATTTGTTGAATTTGCCTACCGCAATATGGACTCCATAGTAACGATATTCGGGGAAATATATCAGATACAGCTCAGAAATACTTTGCCAAATATTATCGAGATCGATTCAGATTTGAATATAGCTCCCATATATATCTTTATCCGATTTCAAGTTAATTGTGCAGCAAATGGTTAATACAAGCCCGAATTGAAAAGACACAAATTTAGAAGAAATCGATTCAGAGGAGAACATTCCTCTCATATATTAGTTCCTTTGGACTTTAAATTATAATTGTAATCATAGTTGATATGATTTAATTCTCACAAATTCCCCATATTTGTTTGGTGAAGCTCTACTAAAGATGTAAAGTGGTGTAGGGTATCATAAAGTCGGGCCCGCACGGCTTTAAGACTTTCTTTACTGGTTATTTCATCCCACATTAATTTATATTATTTTAATTTTTTAAATCAACAAAGTCTCTTTGCCAATCTATAATAATTATGAACTCATTAACTTGGGAATGAAAAAAAAGTTATTATCTGTCTGCATCAAGAACGGCACACCCCGAGAGTTACAATTTCTTATTAATTAATTTACAACTAATATAGAAGACAATGATTCTGTTTTCCTTTTTTCTTTCAAATTAATATCTAATGTAAATTATTAAAAAAAAAACTCTGTTATTAAAATGAACTATAGTCATATTCAATACAAAACAGGAAAAATACATACAAAACAAGAACTTTAATAATATTTAGTATTTCAAGTAGTTTTGACTATAATATACAATCTATTGTAAAGAAGAATTATGAAAACAAGAAGGAACTTTTATAAGTGTTTTACTATGTAGTTATTAAGAAACAAAAAAAAAGATTTTACACTTTTTACATTTCAATTAAATAAACAAAAATGATATAGCAATCATATCGCTCTTAAATATAATTTATGGTTTATATACATATGTTTATACAACAACACATGCATACATTAGGACTATACATTAATATTATAAACCAATATATTCATATAAATATGTAATTTAGATGTACGTGTCAAAAGTAGCTTTGGGATGTAATTTTTTTAATATTTATATACTATACATAAAATATATATTTGATTTTTTTTAATTTTCACCAATATGTTTTATTACCTGTCCAATTTGGTTGATGTTACAAAAGCAAACTTAAACTTGCATTGACTATACAGAATCTCCCCATTCCCCTCTGTATGCATATATTGTTAACAAAAATCAGTCTACCAAAAACATTAAACATATTCGAAGTCATCTACAATAATTAACAATAAAATATAACTAAATATATGCAATAAAAATCAAATAGATCCATAGCAGTACCATACATATTTGTTATGAAATTTGGATACAATTTTATAATGCTATCAAATTAGCAGATGTAAATGTTGCATCAAAAACAAACAAACAAAACACAGAACTAAAATATACTACCGAACATGTTTCCTAATTTAAAATACAACTAAAATTGCAGTATTTTACTGTTAAAGAAAAACAAAAACTATTTAGACATAGCATAAAATTATCTACTTAAAACATAATAAAAAAAGAAGACGTAATATATAATAAGTTGATTTAATATATAAACCTAGTTTATTATTTTTAATGTGGTATAAAATAAAACAAAAACCAACTAAATATATATTATACTGACAAAAATAGTATCTACTTCGTTTTTCTACATATCCTTTTATAATGAAGCATAGGGTGCTGTAATATTGTCATTCGTCAAAATGTTAAATCGATACTACAAGACCTGTGTGTCTCTTCCAAAAATCCAAAATTTGACATGAACTGAGAGTAATATAAATTTAGGTTTTATATATATTGTTCTTCCGTATCAGTAATTTTTAATATACTTGTTTCGATTTCATGCACTTCGAGTATATGAAGTTTCATTGAAAAAATGCATTAATGTAGGTATAAGCGATGTACAGGCAATTACAAGCAAAAAATGGTTTATTGAACAATAATTGTCCGAACATTGATAGCATGGCCTATATAAGGTTGGCCAGTAAGCCCATCTGACAAAGTTTGCTGTCAAAAGATATGATTGTGATTTGAAATTCAAAGAGAATCTTTCATAATTATACAAAAGCTACCAAGTTTACAGTTAAACTGTTGTCAAAAGTAGCCTTTTTTGCCGACCTTATGTAGACCTTGGTATTTAGAAAAAGAAGTAAACAAGTTAAGAGATATCAGTCGGTTTTGCCGACAGATGTACAGGGTGAGATAAAAAAATATGAAATGAAAACGTCACACGCTGCCCGAATGTTGCTCTGCGGTATTTTGGCCCATTCCCGGCGAAGCGTTTGCTTGAGGTGATCAACACTTTGGTATTTTTAGTGCCAACCTTGCTTTCCAAAATACTCCAGACACAATAGTCCAACGGATTGGTATCCGGAGATTTTGGTGGTCATTGTGCGCTGGAAATCAAGCGAGAAAACTTATTTTGTGACCATTTTTGGGTGGCGCGTGCTGAGTGCGATGGTGTCGAGTCCTGTTGAAATGTCCAAGGTCTGCGGCCAAAATGTTATCTTTAATCTTTAATACACCCCCCAAAATATTTTCGCTATAATATTGGGCATTTATTCTGATGCCAAGGTCGATTAATACGAGCGGAGAGCGACCATCGGTTGTTATGGCGGCCCACACCATCACCAGGGCCGGCGCTTGAGTTCTGGTGGCCAACCGAAAGTGCCAGGCAGACACGGATTTGGTCCAAAGAGACCAAGGGTCCAAAACCGTTATTTCGATGCGACACGTATTGGCCGTATCAAATGATATATATACCCTCTCTAGCCATATGGCTGAATTTTGTTGTAAATAGCAACAATGCAAAAACTCAAAATAAGCTTAAAACTCTACATTAAGTGTTTAAATAAAATCTATTGAAGCCGTTTCCATCTCTATGTCATTGCAAATTCACCCAAAATTTTCTCTAGCGAATTAGTTGCACTTTTCCACAATTTTCGGCAATTCTGTCGTTCACTAATTACAGCATCGTACTGCGGAATGCATTTATTTTGATTTTTATTATTAAAATTCTATTCGATTTTGACATTATTCCAGATCTTTCTGTTACACCTGGAGTTAGCAATATTATGACCGATGGTGGCCCGTCCGGAGTAGCAAAAAATATGACTCAATCACACCAACAACAACAGTCACAATCCCAAATGGGCACCAAACGTAATCGTGTACTTACTAGGCAACCACGTGTTAAGCGCGACAGTGATAGCTTGTCCAGCAGTCAAATATCGCCAGAGCCCTCAACCGGTAGTTTGGAATTCGAACCATTCAACAATTCATCACAAACCCTGTACACATCTACAACACATCATCCTATGCCGGCCAATGCTCATCAACACCACCAACACGCGCATCACCACTCACAAGCTCACAATTTTCTGTCTGTTCCATCACGAATTGAGCGTCACTCTTCGGAACCAGCGCCAAGTTTGTCGCCAACCTCGCCTCATCATTTAACTGTACCACAGTCAACGCCTTTCTTAATTAAACAACATTCGGACCCCCTATTGCCTAGTCAGCATTCTGAACATCTTGGTGGCATCAGTTGCGGTACATCCTCCAGCAGCGGCAATCTAACAAATCCATTTGCACCTTTACACCGCCAATATTCACATCCGTTATCGGGTAACGCAACTGGAGCATATCTAGCGACAAGTGCTCCCCTACAACATTCTCAACACATATCATTACCCGAATCTATATATGAAACTGCTTCGCCGCCACCAGCCGGCTCATCTCATTATATTGTCCCGCAAACAACCCCAAACAATCCAGCACAGACACCATCGTCGTCTAACAGTAATAGCAGCGCTACAACTCCAGCGAGTAGTGCAAGTCCCACAAAATCAATAAATTTGCCCCAATTCCAGTCAGCTTATTTGAGTAGTGAAAGAACTGTAACATCAGCTGCGGGCTCACCGCCAATACCTAGAGTTCCTTCGACACAAATGTCCGAACGCAGTGTATCGGAGGATAGTCAAGCGACAGTTGTATCGTGTAACATGGCTACAACAGCAACAAACATGACTACGTCCGCATCATCGGCGAATACAGGGTTGGCGAGTAAATTTCGTAGCTCTAAATCAGTCTCGGCCGTTATGCAAACCGAACGTAGCAGTTCTCTCCAAACAGGCGGCAGTACTTTAGCTTCTTCGAGTGGCGGAGGTAGTTCGTTGGAACATTTACCTACATTACGTGTCAGAAGCGAGGAGTTACAACGATCGGTATCATCTCCACAGGTATGTAAAATATTACGATTTGATTTAATTTGTATTTCCGCACGACAGAAAAAAACAGACATTCTTAAGTTTAGAAAAAAAACTACCGTCAAAATTCTTTAAATACCCTCCACCATTTGGAACGATTTTGGCAATTTTCAAAAAAAATAAAATCCGTTACTAAATTCTGTTAAAATCCTTAAGATGCCGAATGTAGCCGTTATATTAGGGTCTATACGACGACGTGGACCTGCATAGGAAACGTTTGTCATAAACCATTACAAAATGCAAATTCGAAACTTAAATAAAAAAATTCGGTGAATAATGTAGCTAAAATCATCAAAATAACGAATATCGGTAAGTACCGTTATATGGGGGCTATACAAAGACGCGGGCCTGCAAAGACAATTTTCTGTAATAGGCTGTAGTATTCATTACGAACTTCAAATACCAAATTTGAAACAATTCCGGTGAATAATGTCGCTAAAATCATCAAAATACCTAATATCGGGAGGTACCGTTATATGGGACCTATACCAAAACGTGGACCTACATGGCCGATTTTCAGTACCAAAAGTCCTGCAGACATAATATACATATGTATAAAATTTTATCAATATACTTCATTTCGTTCGGAATCTAGAGTGATTTCCACAGAGGAACGGACATCGCTAAATCGAAATAGAATTTTATGCTGATCAAGAATATATATACTTTGTGGGGTCTAAAATGTATATTTCGAGGTGTTACAAGCGGAATGACAAACTTAATATACCCTCCATACTATGGTGAAGGGTATAAAAAAGAAAAAAAGACTCAGAGAAGAATATTGACGGAATTTATATTGTTTTAATGGTAACAAGGGGATTAACTATGGAAAGTACGCATAACACTTTTTTGTTAAAAAATAAATTTCGGTTGAAACCCCAATTTTAGTCTTTAGACTTTAATTAAAATGGCTACAATGCTGCCTGCGGAAGTACATATTGAGATGACATTTCTGAATCAGGCAAATAAATTTCATTGCCCGATATTTGCTATTTTAGAATTCGTACCTTTTCTTGTCAGGTTATATCTTTGTAGAAATTTGAAATTTGTTTTCTTAACATCTCGAACTTGTACATTTTAATAATATTCAATTTTGTTTATCTTTTTCTTTCTTCAGACCTCAAGGGAGATGATCACCTTAGAAAATCCACGTTCTAGTCACTGTCCAGTTATTCGGCCTGGACCCGCACTGGGTTGTAATTTTTGTTGGAATACCATCGATGGTCATGGAAGAATTTTGCGACGCAAAACTAAATACCATTGTCCAGAGTGTCAAACGAATTTATGTATTGTGCCATGCTTTCAAGAATATCATGAACGTCTTAATAATGAACAGGAAACAGCTACAACTACGAATGCGAATAACAATAGTAACACAACCAAAAGTTCAACAAGTTCCAGCTCATCAGCACATGTCGGCAGTAACCAAACATCAGAGGCAACAGGATCATCCGGTGGTAGAAGCAGTTCACAAAGTAGTCATGTGGCTACAGGTGGAACTCGACATTATACAAAAACGGAAACGTTTTAGTCGATTTTTTAAATAATAACAATTGTAATTGTTATAATACTATTTGTAATGCCAAGATATCAAAGGGGATTATGTGTATAATAAGATTACACAATCCTTTCATGCAAAACCCTAAAAGAGAATGAGAGCGTATTCATTGGAGGCCAGTGTTGGTAGCAAAAAAATCGTAAACATCTTTATTTTAACTAAGAGTATATATATGACATGATCCAAAAAACAATTGCAGGTCTACCTGCTGATTATTATCTTTTATTAGTTCCCATGGTACATGAGGAGGTGAACTGGATGTGGAAAACAATACTAAAGGTGTGTGCAGCTTGAAGTCTCCTCATGGCATATTTTGTGATATATCACTTAGATACTGCCACCGTTCAAAGACTTCAAGCTGCTTATGTAGCCACACCTTAAGGTTATGTCCGCTTTTTGTCAGATTTTTTTTAAGTCGTTATATTTTATTTGAAATTTAAATCATTTTTAATATAAATTATAAATTTCGAAAAATGAATGAAGTATCTGAATTTCATTTCAACTGCCTAATTTAATTTCATGACAAAGTCAGTTATTACCCTTTGTACACGCTCAGAAAAAATTGCAATCGTCTGGTCTTTAGCATATTTTCGAAATTAATTGTTGACATATAACATCTGACACTTTCGGAATGAATGAATAATCAGCAGTTAGAATATGGAAATAATTATAAGATCGACACATAAGACCAGTCTACTTATATTTACTGTCAACATAATTTGAATTAGTTGAACAAGTACAATATATGTCAATTATAGTTAATTTTGTTAAAAATTTGTAATTCAAATCAAGGCTTACATAAGGTCGACCAAGACAAAACTTAGTAGTTTTTTTCGCTACTGCGATTTAACTCTCTTTGAAGGCGGGCTTACTGGCTTACTTTTTATGGACCTTGATTCATATTTTCAAATCATTTGATTCATTCAATTAGAAATATCAAAGAAAACATTTTTTTTTGGATTATGTTCTTCACTTCATACATTTTGGATGCTAAGATTTGTATGATATACAAGAGAAAAAAAAGAGCCTGTGTAGACAATAAATCTTTCTTTTTATGTACAATGTATTCAATATTTATATAGGTATTTAATGTACAGGGTGAGATAAAAAAACTGCAACAAAGTCAAACGCCATAATTTATATATTTTTTTTAAATTGTATTTAATGAAAGCGAAAAATTTCGGAAATAGCATCAAATTTTAGAATAACTTTAGATTTATTCGGATTAATCATCTTTGGCACGAAACCGGCCAATGAAACCGTCACGGTATTTTGGTCCATTCCCGGCGAAGCGCTTGCTTGAGGTGATCGACACTTTGGTATTTTTTAGTGCCAACCTTGCTTTCCAAAATACTCCAGACACAATAGTCCAATGGATTGGTATCCGGAGATTTTGGTGGCCATTGTGCGCTGAAAATGAAGCGAGGAAACTCATTTTGTAACCATTCTTGGGTGGCTCGTGCTGAGTACTGTTGGAATGTCCAAGGTCTGCGGCCAAAATGTTTGCGTGCCCAAGGCTTTAATACACCCTCTAGAATATTTTCGCGATAATATTCAGCATTTATTCTGATGCCTCGGTCGATTAATACGAGCAGAGAGCGACCATCGGCTGTTATGGCGGCCTACACCATCACCATGGCTGGGACTTGAGTTCTGGTGGCCAACAGAAGGCAAGTAAACACGATCATTTTGTTTGTTTACAAATTGCTGGACAACGAATGTTTTCTCATCGGAGAAAACCAAATTCGGCAGTTCACCACTTTCGAATAAGCGAATAAAAAATAAGTGATGGTACGAGACACAAAAGATTTATTCACATTTAAATGCTGGAGTGCTCTAACGATAGCCACTTGTGGTTTTCCAGCCAAATATATAGAAGTCACACTATCACGCTTAAAATTCATCACAAATATTTTTTTTCTGGAAAATTCCCACCAAAATGCTTTGGTACGCTTGTAAACAATATAATGAGCTGTCACTGGAATAATTTTAACAGCTGTCGGAGGAGTGGCTTATAAATGACAACAGTCTGAAGTTGGTTGCAGTTTTTTTCATCTCACCCTGTAAATGTGTTTAACTTATATGGTGAAAAATGTCGACCAAATACGTCTTATGTTAGGAAAAGCTGACAAACATGAGTTTCAGCTTTTTTGTTTGTTCCGTTTCAAAAACTGCGAGAATGTTAAGTATCTTAAGTATAAACATACACTTGTTTGCTTTACGAAAATTCGTTTAGTATTTTGGTCAATTATGTCTATAAACATAATTCTACATCGAATAATGCTACCAATGCTAATCTGGCTTTTTATAGTACGCTTTAATTGAAATCATCGGAGGAAATTTTATTCCGAAGGCTTATTTTCTAGATCACTATAAAAAATATGAATTTGGCAAAAATAATAAAAGAGGTATTTCAATATGGTTTCATTAAAAATATTTTTGTAAAATTTGGTGATCGAATGGCATAATTTGTGGAATTAGGGGTAAAGCATGTAATTGGCAATCTTATTTGTTAGTAGCGATTAATTAAAAAAAAAACTGTTTTTAGTACTCTAATACCAAAAGGTAATACAACAATCTACTGGAAAACTTATTTCGGTACAATTTTGTTTATAATTTAGATAAATATTGATAATTTGGATATCCAAACATTTGTATTTCTTGAAGTGAACCTTACATTTGGGGTTTCCTAAACAAATTACTTTGTATGGCTATAATGATTTCGAAATGAAATCCATTTTTATAAAAGCCAAAGTTGTTGAAATGTTTTTATTTTGAGAAATAAAATCAAAATACAAAAAAAAACAAAATTAAATAAAATATAGTTTTATAAACTTGTTAGTTTTTATAAGAATAAATATATATTTGTTGGCAAGAGATTTTAATTATTAAACGAAGAAAATAATAGTAATGAGTAAAAATATATAAATGTGTGTATATTAAAACAAAAAATGTTTTCAAAATAGTTCAATAAGTTTAAATTAATCAAAAAGTTCAACTCGAACATGTATCTTAAACATTTATTTGTAGGTAGATGTATGTGTGTATTCATATGTAAACAAATATGTGTAATAATCCGTGGTTATCGAAATCTATGTTAAATTATGTTTTTTTTTTTTTTTGTCGAAAGTGATATTTAATAATAACACATCTGCACTTCTTGTTGTCCAAAAAGGAAAAACTTTGTATGGTCATATATTTTATTAATTGGTCAAAAATGATTTAAAATAAAAAGTAAAAAAGAAAAATGTTTCGAATATATAATAAATCTACGAGACACATTGTTCTAGAATCGAAAAAAAACATTGATCTGATCCAGAACTGCCAGCATGTAAAACTTTTTACTACGATAACCCGTTTTTTCTTCTTGATATCGAAAAAATTGCAACACTTGTAGATTTATGCAGGTTCTGGAACAGTACTCATATGGGGCCGAGGCTTTGCTGACACACACGCGATGAAATGTTCAATGACAGTTTTGCATAAATGCTGTGGTATTTCATTAATTCGCGTAAACCAGTGTTAAGTCGCACAACCTAAGCCGCCAATTCAGTTCTCCAAAACGCGTAAGAACACGAACTAGAAATTACTGATGTCGCTATTGAATTGTTTCTCTGACTGTATGACATGTGGCGCCATCTACTTGAAACCACATGCCCTCCACATTCATTTCTTTAATTATTGGCAGGAATAATCTGGTTATCATTCTGATACTACGATTGCGTCTATTTGGTTGGACTCTATTTAGCTATTTTTGCTTGAGTTCACGTTTATTGTGCAATAAACGCGCAGTATCTCACTAAATAGAATATATTTAGAAGTAAGTTTTTAAACTTTGCTGAATATATCGGTTCATTAAAGGTTCATCGGAAGTTTTAGATCAAATTTGGACAACCTCGATTCTGAGCGATGGCTACAGATAAACGATATATATATGTTTTTTTTATCCCATTTTAAAGCCTTCTCAAAGCCATAATATATACTATATAGAGTTGTATACTTCATAAAAATAACCCCATTGAACTTCGCTAGTTCATATTAGTTATTTTTATACCCTCCAACTTGGAAAGGAGGGTATATTGACTTTGTCATTCCGTTTGTAATATCCCTAAATATTCGTCGTAGACCCCATAAAGTATACAGGGTGAGATGAAAAAACTGCAACCAACCTCAGACTGCTGTCATTTCTAAGCCACTCGTCCGATAGCTGTTAAAATTCGTCAAGTTACAGCTCATTATATTGTTTACAAGCGTACAAAAGCATTTTGGTGAGAATTTTCCAGAAAAAAAGTTATTCGTGATGGAATTCAAGCGTGATAGTGTGATTTCTCTATATTTGGCTGGAAAACCACAAGTGGGCATCGCAGAGAACTCCAGCATTTAAATGTGAATAAGTCATTTGTGTCTCGTACCATCACTCGTTACCGTGATACTGGTATCGTATCCCGATGTCAAGGAAGTGGACGGAAGAAAACAGCAACATCAGCAGAAATGGTTCGAAAAGTAAAGAAACGACTTTATCGAAACCCGCGTCGCAGTGGCCGAAAAATGACCCGTGAGCTGAACATATCGCAATATTCCATTCGGCAAATATTAAAAAATGAGCTCGGGGTAAAGCCATTGAAATTCCAAAAAGTGCAAGAACTTACACCACAACAGAAAGGAAATAGACTTAAAAGAGTTGCTTTGCTTTTGGTTTTCTCCTATGAAAAAAACATCCAGAAACGTTCAGCAGTTTGTAAACAATCAAAATGATCGTGTTTACTTGCAAAAGAGGTCAGCTGAAAATGTACACCTTCACTAGGCCACCAGAACTCAAGCGCCGGCCATGGTGATGGCGTGGGCCGCCATAACAGCCAATGGTCGCTCTCCGCTCGTGTTAATCGACCGTGGCATCAGCGCACAATGACCACCAAAATCTCCGGATAACAATCCGTTGGACTATTGTGTCTGGAGTATTTTGGAAAGCAAGGTTGGCACTAAAAAATACGAAAGTGTCGATCACCTCAAGCAAACGCTTCGCCGGGAAAAAATACCGCAGAGCAACATTGGGGCAGCGTGTAACGATTTCATTGGCCGTTTGAAGGCCATAACTCGTGCCAAATTTAACCAATTCGAACAAGTCTAAACTTATTCTAAAATTTGATGCTATTTCCGACATTTTTTGCTTTTATTCAATAAAATTTTTGTGTATCGGTTAGAGTTTGTATACTTCATAAAAATAACCCCGTTGAACTTCGCTAGTTCATTTTTGTTATTTTTATACCCTCCACCTTGGAAAGGAGGGCTTATTGACTTTGTCATTTCGTTTGTAACATCCTTAAATATTCGTCGTGCACCCTCATAATCATCATAAAATGATAAGTCGACTTAACGATGTCTGTCTGTCTGTTGAAATAACGATACAGTCCACATTGGAGCGTCACAATTTTAGCAGAACAATTTGTATTGTGTCCAGGATAATTAATATTGAAAATGAGATATATCGGTCCACGTTTTCGTATAGTCCCCATATAACGGTACCTCCCGATATTCTGTTTTTTGATGATTTTGCCACATTTTTTACGGGTTTCTCTAAAAATTGGTATTTGTTGATCATAATAGGTTCTAGCTCCGGTGGAGAAACATTGTATGTATAGGTCCACGTTTTGGTATAGCCCCCATATAACGGTACCTATCGATATTTGGTATTTCGATGATTTTTGACACATTTTCCCACGAATTTGTCTAGAAACTGGTAATTGTGGGTCTTAAAAAACTGGTAGATTTTTGTTTTAGTAAACATTTATTTCTCTAGAGTATATTTTCTATGTAATATAAGCCTTCAAGACAACTTTTTTATTACAATTTCAAATTTATTCCTTCTTTTTCTCAGTATCAACTGTTTCCGAAGCAGGTAGGGCTTTACGGAAGTTAGGGAATTGCTCCCATGGGGCAGACAAATCGAATTTTCTAAATTCTTGGGCCAATTCTAGGGGCTCACATACCACACGTTTTTTCTCGTCATCATATCGCAACTAAAAATAATAAGACAGTTTGGAAAAATATAAACATTTTTAAATCGTATTTTTTTACCTCAACGTAACCAGATAATGGAAAATCACGACGTTGGGGATGACCTTCAAAACCATAATCGGTAAGAATGCGACGTAAATCTGGATGGTTGGCAAAGAAGACACCATACATATCGTAGATTTCACGTTCATACCAGTTAGCTGCTTTGAAGACTTCGTTGCAAGAGTCCAATGGAGTCAATTCATCAGTGTATGTCTTAACACGAATGCGAGAATTATAACGCAATGACAAAATATTGTAAATGACTTCAAAACGGTATTTGCGGCTGGGGACGTCCATGCCAGCAATGTCAACCAAATTGGCAAATTGAGCTTGATGGTGATCCTTTAAGAACTGCAACACTGGAACTACTCCCTCTGGTGCAATAAGGACCTCCAATTCATCGCCAGAGGTTAACTGAACTTTTTGCACGTACTTCGGCAAGCACTCAGCAACATAACGCCCAAAATCGGATAAATGGCTCCTTGCAGTCTCATTTGGCTTGCGGATAGTGGCTACAAAAATTAAAATAAATTTTACTCCGATGCAAGCAACGATAAGTTGGTTATCTTACGTTTGTTCGATTGAGCATCGGTTGCAGTACTGGCCAAACGCAAAGCACCGACATTTGAAGCCGCAGCAACACCTTTGGGAAATTCGTTGTTACAGATTGTTGAACATAAGAACTACATAATACAATGAAGAATACATTACCATTTTTGGCCACCGCTTGGGAAGCCAATCTGAGGCCAACGTTTCTGATTAATCCAGCCATTTAAATCCTGGAGATCCTGAACCGTGCTATTTTTTTCGGATTTGACAGTTTATGTAATAACCAACTGTCAACATTTTAGTGCTGTACACTATAATTTTAGTATTCGGTTCCGTACAGTTAATTTTATTAAAATACAAATAGGGTTCACAGTTCTCGATTTGTTTTACATTTCACAGTTTAGAATTATTATCCACCAGTGTGTACAGAAGCATAACATAAAACTATGGCCCATTTTTATATATTTTCTTTATAGTCTAATTTTGAAATAAATCTTCAATTTATTCAATCACATAAAATAAACCATTTGCGTTATCCATTTCTTTATTTGAATACATTTTGCTGATATTGCCATTTTTTAAACTTTACGTTAAAAGATTAAGGGAAAGATGGTCGACCTTTTGCTTATCGGACAGTTCATACTTAAATAAATCTCGTAATAATGAAAAACGATTTATGTGTTCGACAACATCATTTTTTATCTATCGGAAGGATGTACTAACCGGCCTATGTAAAGAAAGAGGTGGGAGCAAAAGCTGCACGCAATATTGTGTGTTCACCAAATTTGTTCGTGCGCAATATACGTTTTAAAACAACCAGACAATCTTGATTTCAATTTCTTTTCATAATGCGATTACATGCGAAACTGTTCGCTCAAAAAATTGTGTGATAATAACATGTTTCCATTGGAAACCGAACAACGTTGTTCGCTCTCAGAATTAGGTACACGAATTAACCCGTTCATACGGCACGATTCGTAATTCATAGTAAAATAATTCCTTTTTTCAAAAATTTTGTTTGTTGATTTTAATGGGAATTTTAATAAATTACATTAAATTCTCACTAATATGAATAGAATATATGATTGTTTTTCTCCCCAAGATTTATTATATCAATAATTTTATAATTTTCATTCATGTTTTCAACTGTTTGTGTAAATGTTGACATTTTGAATATATTTTTGTATTTTTCTATTTTTAAATTCTGCTGGAGAGACACTTGTCAAACATTTTTTCTGTCAATACAAACATTTTGAAAATATTGCCTCTTTTGTTTGCAGTTTTCTGTGAAAATTTCTACTCGTGGACAAAATGCGTACCTCGGATGAGAGAGAAAACAAAATGTACTTTCGTTTGAATGTACATACGCCATTCAACATTGTAGTTTTCATTCATAATTTTCAGTCTTCCCAAAAAATTTTAAAATTTCATTAAATTTTCCTATTTTTAATTTTTAAATGTCATAATTTATTTTTTCGATAAATGCTCTCATTTGTTAGGGATGGGACATATTTTTTCGTTGTTCTGAGAGTGATTTGATTTGAACAACGTACAAATATGAGTGTTCGCTCAGGAAATTTTGTGTGAAGAATTAAGTAGTTTTTTCATAGTTAAGGGTCAAACAACGAATAGAGAGCGAATCAAGTGCAGTGGAAACGCCACATAATTAACATTTGATGGTCGAACAACGAATAGAGAGTGTAAAGCATGGTAGAAGAATACAGGTAGATGCATCAACGCTTGGGAGCACTGATATGTCAAAAAATTTTAAATATATTTTCAAATATAAGTAGATTTTTATAAATTTTCTTATACGACGTCATTCGGAGTTTATAAAATTCGCATTTTTCAACAATTTCTACAAATTTGAATAAATTTTCATTCAACTTTTTCAATTCCAAAATTAGTTTGACAGTTCATTGTCCCAGCAGCTGTGTCGATGCGACTACCTATATTCTTCTACCATGGTGTAAAGTTGGGAATACATAAGGCGCTTAAGTCAACTGCTGGCTTCTTCGGAAATGAACAAAGGAGCCTAGGGCCAAAATCGATCTAAGTCAACCTAAAACTCCTTTGTTCATCTACGAAGAAGCCAAATATGCGCTCTATGTATGTCCACCCTAAGTGTGTAAGTCTATTATTTTCTCTTTTTAATGTTAATTTGACAAGATAGAAAAAAAAACTTAAGAAAAAATTGAAAAGTACAATGTTTGTTCATTTTTGCTCTGTTTCAGAACTGTAAAAATATAAAAGTTATTTCTACGATAACCGGTTTCTCCTTTATGATATGGAAAGAAATGGCAAAACTAGTAGATTCTACGACAGGAACAATTTTGAAAGGGTCTCCCTGGTTGAATATTAAAATACAAATATATATTTACAATTGGTATGTATCAGAATTGCAAGAATATAAAAGTTTTTACTATGATGGCCGATTTTCCCTTTATGTTATCGAAAAAAATTGCATTCGTTGTATAACACTTGCTGTTTCCTGTATTATTCTACTATGAATGATTTGGAATTGGGTCCTAGCATGGTACAATAAGGAGGTAGAATAGCTTCGTAAAACTAGAAAAATACAGCCCTGAGGCTATGCCCGCTTCCTGTCAGAATTACTCAAAATTATATGCCACAAATTGTTTTCATTTATGATATTATTTGTTTATTTTTAAAATGAGTTGAACAGCGCGAAAGATGAATGAAATTCCTTTCAAAAATATGATCCTAAGTGTCCATTCTTTCAATTCCATGGCCAATCTGGTTAATATCACTAATGCGCGCCACGCAATTTAATTTTCTTCCAATTATTGATTTTGAAAATATTTTGTTTCTATTTTTAAAAACAACAAATACATACACAATATTGGCAGAAGTCGGGCACACTTAGAAAAAAAATTGTAATCAGCTGGTAGCTCTACCTTACCTTTTTATTGTACCATGGCTCCTAGGGAATTCCAAATCGGTTTATGCTAAGTTCGTTTCGTATAAAGTTTCGTATAAATTCCCATTAAAATTAACAAACAAATTTTAAGAAAAGGAATTATTTTTTCTGTGAATTACGAACCTCGCCGTATGAAAGGGTTAATTCGTGTACCTGATTCTGAGAGCGAACAACATGATTGAAAGTGCAATGAGAACATAGCATTAAGAACTAGGGTATATTTAATATCGATACCCACACGTAAGAAAGGAACACATTTGGGCTATTCCATAACCTGCAAGAATATACTAGTTTTGAAATTTTCTCCGATATCATTCTTGTAGTTCTGGAACAGACCAATTTGCTCTCTTCCAGAATCAGCAAGAAACTACTTTTTGCCATTTTTTTTTTCGATATAACAAAGAAAATTGACGTTTTATTTGATCATGATAATAAATTGATGTTGAAATGTGTATTATTTTCTTTATTTGCCAACATCAATTGTCTATTGCTCTGTTGCAGTAGCTTCAGGAATCTACTAGTTTTGTAATTTTCGTCGATATCATAAAGATAAAATCGGTTATTGTAGTAAAAAATTTTACATTCTTGCAGTACTAGAACAGATCATAAATACTGGGTTTCTATATATCATTTTTGGCTATTTTGTATACGTAAACAAATATCTGCTGAGCGGCATTTATATCCTCCTAAACACACATTATTAAGCCACTTTATCTTATAAACACATTTGTTTATTCTTCAATAGTATAAATGTACTATAAAGGGGCGTTTTTGCACTTTGATACACTTCTGTCATGCTTGCAAGTGAACGACACCTCGCGTGTGTATGTTCCTGATTGGTTTGTTTTACCAACACGTTTCATAATGTGTTCTCACCTTAAGTGTAGTTTTCGATATTAAATATATCCCTAGTTTGTAAATCGATTTAGAGTTCCCTAGGACCCAATTCCAAATCATTCATTTAAGAAAACAACGGAGAGAAATTAAAACAAAACAAACCAAGAAAACAAAAACAATTCCATCGAAGAGAAATGAACCATTTGAAATGGATGGGACACTCGGCTACCATTTTGGAAATACACAAGGGCTTGCGTGACGACTTACAAAGTTGTGAAGTGACCATGGTGGCAGGGAATAGTTCTGTTAAGGCGCACCGATTTGTGTTGTCGTCATGCAGCGACTTATTGAGAAACCTTTTGAGCGACGTTCCATTGCAGCAGGAGTGTTGTATTATGCTACCCGACATATCTGGATATCTGCTGGAAAATGTTCTTTCATTTGTCTATTTGGGCGAGTGTTCTCTTTCTTCGACAAACTTGTCAGAATTCCTCGAAGCTATAAATGTGTTGGGAATTAAAAGTGCTATCAGCTTCGAATGTCACACGAATGCTATGCAAGTGTCCCAGAGTCAGAATATTAACAATAATGCCATAACATCGAATGCACCGGCTAATGTTGGTGTAGGAAGACATGTAAGTGCAAGCGCCGCAGTTCATGGACCTGGCACCACCGTCACCATACAGCACCAGGAAGAATTAATTGAAGCACACGCAGTGTTGCAAACAAGTAACCAGACGACGTTAGCCCCAAATACAAACACTGCGTCCACCAATGAAGAAAATAGAGATCTTGAGTTTATTGATGTATACCAACATGAACCACAACATAAAATCACATATTCTATAGAACATGTTCCCGGATCTACTAATGGCAATGAATTTATTTTAACAGAAAATTCAGGTACCTTCACACTAACCCAAAACCACAAGTTAGATTCAACATCTAGTTCCGAATCAACCACTATGGAAGTGAACGAAGAGGACGCTTGCGAATCTCATATAATTGAGGAATACAGCAGTGGTGATGAACCGCTGATACACATTGGAAGCACGGATGTTGCATCTGTGACAACAACAAATGTTTCCACTGCAACGCAAACTAACAATCCCACTCCATCCACTATCAATACGACATCTATAATCGAAATGAAACCAAAGTCATCAATGAAAACTCTTAAGCTAAGAGGTCACACAGCAGCCGCCGGTATTATTCCGAAACTAGATCAAGTAACCCAAAATGAAATTGAGGCAGTGGTTCAAACCACCGATGATGAGGCTATGTCGTCTATGCTGCATAGCAGTGCCGACAGTAGTTATGCTTTGTTGAAAGATACCAGTGCAAATGAATCGATTGGATCAGATAATTCAAAAAATGACTCAACCTACGACGTGAATAATGCTCCGAGTTTAACAGCTACTGACTTAGCATATCAGGCCATGGTAAACGAAGGTATGTCATTGCCAAAGGCCGCTGGTAAATTTAATGTTTCGAAAACTGAACTGTGGAGAAGAGTTCGCAGTACCGGTGTGGAAAGTCTTCAAAAAGTTTCCAAGATATATAACGACAAGATGGACGTCATTGAACTGGCTAGTCAGGCGGTAATAAACGAGGGATTGTCTTTGCAGAAAGCTGCGATACGTTATGATATCTCTAAAACGGTTCTATGGCGACGCGTTCGTAAGCACCCGCAATACATGAAAACAACTCGGGAAAACCCTATTATTTCCAAGGCCTATGAACGTCTTAAGACGGGAGAGTCGCTTAAAAGCATATCGCAAGATCTAGATATACCCATGTCAACGTTGCATCGTCATAAAGTGCGTCTGTCCAATTCAGGGCAATTGCCGGATTTCGTTAGCTGTCGAAAACGTGACAGTGTATCAAAAGATGATTTAAAAGTAAAATTAGCTAAAGCTGTTTATGCTTGTATTCATGAGGGAATGTCTCAGAATCATGCCGCCAATTTATATGAAATTTCAAAGAGTACATTGTGGCGTCATTTGCAGCGCCGAGTTGCCGAGGCCGAAGGAGCAGAGACCTCAGAGGGAGCCATAGATACCGATGAGAATATCAAGAAGGAAGTAGTTTTATCTTAAATAAAATACCCATTATTATATTATTTAATTTATATGTCTAGAATACACAATTTTTCCATTTAGTATTAGAAATGTAAATATAGGTACTACATTCATACATATAAGATTTGTATTTTGAATCATCCAGATAATAGATTAATTGTATTTGATAGAATTAAATACACACACATATACATGCACACTGTAAAACATCTGGAATTTTCTTTGAAATAAAAATGTATCGATTTAAAAACATATACCCGGTGAAATTTTATTCGAATATAAATTTTGACCATGCTGACCGAAAGTGTCTACACTTATAGTACAAAACAAGTAAACAAATGCTACAGCCGTGTGGAGCCTACATGTGATAACCTACAACACTATAACCCCCTTAAGTTATGATGGCCATTAAAAATGGTAGGCTTCTGTCCTGTCCTATACTCACGTATTTCATGCAAAATTCCGACTTCGACTGTAAATTCAGAAAAAAATTTCCATTTCAACCCCTAAATATTTTGTAAACATCTTCCCTATACCATATACCCTTTGTAACATGGAGAAGGAAGCGAAATAAAACCATAGCGCTCTGTGATCTGCAGAACCGTCTGTCCATGTATATTTTAAACAAAGTATAGGTGGCATTTAAAGGCTGATCCAATGAAGTTCTGCACAAATCATTTGAGTGGCCCGAGGAGGAACCCTATTGAAATTAGTGAGGTCAAACTTTGAATGTAGCTCCCATATATCCGTCCGTTTTGTTTTTTATTATGGACCAAATGAGTAATATTAAGCCAAATCAAGTTAAGCCTAGAAACAATCATACCAAATTTGTTGAAAATTGGTTAAGAGAACTACAGGTTGAGATAAAAAACTCCAACAAAGTCAAACGCCATTATTTTTCATTTAATTTTTTTTTTAATTTTATTGAATGACTGCAAAAAATGGCGGATATAGCATCAAATTTTAGAATAAGTTTAAATTTGTTCAAATTAGCCACCTTTGGCACGAATTATGGCCTTCAAACGGCCAATGAAACCGTCACATGCTGCCCGAATGTTGCTCTACGGTATTTTGACCCATTCCCGGCGAAGCGCTTGCTTAAAGTGATCGACACTTTGGTAACCCTATGTATATTGTTGTGCGCCAAAAGTTAAAATTTAGGAGTATTTTGTTGAAAATCGATTCAGATATAGCTATATCTTCGATATATATGCTTTAATTTGATTGTTTCCAAACTCTATAGAAAAATCTGCCTCCGTCAAATGTAGTGGAAATTGATTCGGTGTAGGATATACCTCCCATATATCACTTCCTTCCGTTTCCAAGTTAAGCTCTTTAAGCCATAATGCGAATTCAAAAACGATATGATACCAACCATGATCGTTCGCAACTTCGCATAATTTCCAAATATTAACGTGTATTTCTTACAGGTAGCTGTACTAAATATGCATAGTAGTGTAGGGTATCATATAGTCGCCGGTGGCTTCATAACAAAAAAAACCTACAACAAATTGGCAAAAATAATGACGACAGTGATTTTTTGACTGTGTGTTTACCAGAGTTACAACAAAACAATACTAAGCCCGTTGTCCAAGCTACATCAAAGAGCATGAAATAATATAAACCCCATAGTCTCTTCAATGCTTTCGAAGCAGATTGGATTCATTTGAGAACATTTTGGGGTTAAAACCGGTTGCGAGACTACAGATTACATTACCTCATGTTGTTGAAGAGTAGTCACATTATACCCCGGGTAATCCTATAATTTGTCGTGTCGTAATTGTTCTGTTGTTGACAAAGAATTCTATATTTTTTGGCATTGCATTGAGCTCAGTGTTAAAATTCATTTGTCATTCTGTTTGTAACACTAATATATTATTTTTAGACCCCAAAAAGTAGATATATTTTTGATCAGCATAAAATTCTATGTCGATTTTTACTCAGGACTTTTGGTATTGAAAATGGGCCCACGTTTTGGTATGGCCCCCATATAACGGTATTTTGATGATTCTAGCGACATTTTTCACCGGAATTGTTTCAAATTTGGTATTTGATGTTCGTAATGAGACAGAAAATTGTCTTTGCAGGTCCACGTCTTCGTATAGCCTTCATATAACGGTACCTCCAGATATTCGGTATTTTGATGATTTTAGCTACATAATTCACCGGAATTATTTCAAATTTGGTATTTGATGTTCGTAATGGATACTACAGCCTGAGACAGAAAATTGTCCACGTCTTCGTATAGCCCCCGTAAAACGGTACCTCCAGATATTTGGTATTTTGATGATTTTAGCTACATTATTCACCCCTTTTTTAAGTTTCGCATTTAAATATTGTAATGGCTTATGACAAAATTTACCTATGCAAGCCCTAATATAACCGCAACATTCGGCATTTTTAAGATTTTAACAGAATTTTTAACGGATTTTTTTGTTTTTCAGGATTGCCAAATTCGTTGCAAATGGTGGAGGGTATTCAAAGTTCAGCCCGAACTTACAGCTTTTTTACCTGTTATGTACTAAAATGCATATACATTCTTTATGCCCTAAAACTTTTAAATTAAAACAAATAATTTTCGTTTTTTTCTTTGTTTTGGTTTTTGCGTTTTTTTATTTTATTTTATTGTTTTTTTTTTGTTATTTTAATATTAAAAACTAATAATAATCAAAAGCAAATACTTAAATTTGGTAGAAATAATATTATTAAATTATTTTACAGTCAGTATTATGTTTTAACAAAGAGGGTTTTCTTTAATCTTCCAAAAACAAAACACCGTATTTATTGTGTATATTAGGCTTAAGATTAAATAACATGTAGTATTACTTTGCTTATATGTACTTCCAAGTATTTGCTTTAATATTTCTTTAATTAAATTATAGAATTTCACATTCTCTCTTGTTACTTTTGTTTGTTATGAAATAATATTAAAACTGAGGATTTTTAATTCACATTTGTTTTTCGTATATTTGTTTTCGTTTTTTTAGTATAAATTTAAACCTAGGTTCTTCTAATTATTTTTTCTTTCTTTTATTTTATTTTAAGCTTTTTTGATTTACCTTAAATGTAGATTCGCTTTTCTGTTGTATGTCTTCGTATAGGGTTTTAGTGAGTTCTTGTCTATTTTAAAATAAATAATTTGTTTTCAAATAAAGTTCGTTTAATTGTTGTTGCTGTTATGTGATAATATTTTGTATCAGATGTATTTATGATTTGTTGTTGTATGCTATTTATTACACATTATTTATTGTTATATATTCGTTTATTAACTAAAGTATTACTGATATTTGTTTGTTAGTATTTTATATATTATTATTATTTATATAAAGTTATATAAGCCTTACTAATTAATTACATTTTTTAATTTCTAACATACAGTTCCTTATTTATGTTTTTTTACGATGTTATCGATCAATCGCTCTGATTTCAAGGGAAGTAACAGAATTCAACACTTTTTTTAATATTTCGTAAAAAATCATAGTAAACTTCCAAAGAAATCCTCGCTCTATCTATCTGTTCAATTCAAAGCTGTTTTAGTTGCATTACAGAATATATATTATTTGGATTTGTATGCATCGTCGAAATTACTTTTCACACAACATTTTTTGTTGTTTGTTTTTTGTGTTTTATAAAGATAACAACTATTTATAATTACTTTAACAATGTGCGCAATTTGTTGTAATAAACTGTCTTAAATACAGGAAAAAAAAACAAAATCAATAAAAACATATATAACAAAACAAAAATTGAAAATTCGTGAATGCGTCTAAACATTGGCTTTAGATTATCGATTCATTTTTAAAGACTAATCACAAGTAGACTAAATACTCATCTCAACTAAATCTTATACGGAGTCCCTATTTAATTTACAGGTGGTGGATAGTAGAAATGATATTAATAATCAAGAATGTATTACTAAATAAAAATGATTGGAAATTATTACACATAAACATATCGCAACATGTTCGCTAGGAGTTTTATTTTGATTCGGCATGTGATGTTAACTAAATCGATGCGACTTGAAATCGAAGTTTTGAATATTTATTCTGGTTATGGCGTTTGAAGGCAAATAACACTTTTAACATGTTTTTGAGAAATCATAGTAATTCAATTTGCATATGTAATTATTTATTTTTTTCTGAAAAATTAGTGCTATTGTATTTAAAATTAAAGTTTTGTTTGGATTTTGTTTAGAAAAATACTTGGACAGACGGACGGACATGCATAAATCGACTCAGAATGTGATTCTATGCAGATCATCAAAAGGAACTATGGGTCTATCTCGTTTATTTTTTACATCGACACCTTGCATTCTAACAATTCCTTTTGAATTTTATGGCCACCAATCATACGAATTTGATTGATTATAATGAATATGAAATACTTTATACTACATTGATTACTTTAACGGCCATCGCAGTTAGCAATCGAGTAGTAAAATATCTATGTGTAAAAATTGTTATTGATTCAATTTTATGAAACGGATAGTTTTTTAATTTTAAAACAGCAAAATAAACTTAGACTTTCACGCATTGTCTTCTGGTGTAAAAACAACCAATAATAGAATATGCCTTGTAAAATGGTCCTAGAAATGCATTTGCATTAATCAATAAAACAACACATAAACGAAGGGCGAATTTGTTCCTTACATGTTGCGATGTTTTAATAAAATAAAAACTGTAAGTGAGATAGAGATTACTTAAAAATTAATTAACATAACAGAAATATGTATAACTGAAGCAAATTACACACGTGTTAATTTGATTTTGTTAAAATACAGACATATATATAAATATTTAAATATACGTGAATTAAGAGGATGTTCACACTTATTAATTACAGCTAATTATGGAGGGGTATATGTTAGCTACATATTTCTTTCTACGCACAGATATTATATATACACATAAATTATTGTACAATATATGTTCTATATATAGTACACTTAAGGCAAATATATAAAGTGTAGATTAAAAAAAAGTATTAAACAAAATTATGTGAACCAAAACTTTGTAGTAATGCTTTTGAATGGAGAATAAATATATGTATTTGTATTTTTTATAGGAAAATCCATTTTATTGTTGGTAAATGAAAAAAAAAATTGTTTTATAGTTAAAAATGTTAAGTATGTACACTTTTTCATTATTAAATACTATAATTGTTTTAGGCACTTTAGCAATTAGATCTCGCTTTATAAAATAAAACTCAAAACAAAACTCCAAGGCTTAGGGGTAAAATCGACATCAATGGTATGAATGAAAATGAGAATGAAAAATGTGAATATTGTTCTTCTGAAAAATGAGACTCAAACCCTCAAAAAGAAACCAAATAATATTAGAAGTTTAATGAGATAATTTTAATATAATTTTAGAACGACGATATTCTTCATCATCAAACTCAAAAACTCAAATTTAAAAAAAAAATATTTTTGTATGAATTTATGCAGCCAAACATATTTTTTTTATTCAATAATTAATTGGTGTTTAAAAAAGCGTTAATTAACAAAGTATAAAATATTGTTCCGGCGTGACTGTCTTTCGCATAGAAGTAAAACAAATAATAGTCCCTTTTTGACAATGTGGCTTGAAATTTTGAAAAACTCCAGTTATGCGTCATTTTCTTTTTCTGTCAAATAGAATTTATATTACATATTATTTCACTACATTTTAAATCATTTTTTTTTTGCTGATTATCCATTTTTATTTTGCTTCGATTTTCCTAATCATTTGGAGGTTGTCGAAGGCAAATACTGATATAACAAAAATGTTTAAATTTATAGAAATATGTCAATACACCGAAAGAAATCAATCTTTAAAACATGAAAATAATTAAGAACGTTTTTAATTTTTGGATAGCAAAACGGTCATTAATCATGGTTTGACAAAAAAAAAAACAAATTAAGAACAACATATTCCGGCAATAGTATAATGCGAAAAGAAGCGATACTTGTAATGGAAATAACTCCAACACTACATGCTTCTGTCATTGCAATTTACTCGCCAAAGAGTCAATTTTTAAAGTTGCAGTCATAATAATTCAAATTGCAAACATAAACAATTTGGCAACTGCTTTATCTTTAAATTCATACAAAATATCGAAATCAATAGTACATATATCTTTAATATTTACAATTCCAAATTCAAAATAAGTTTTACTATTTTCGCCAATTACTATTATGTAGCAAGGGATGGAGTATTTAAAAGTTTGCGAGACAATCGACAACTGTAATTAATTAATACAAACTTAATGTGAACAATTTTTTGGGATGTTTTTGTTCATGCGGTTAGTTACGAGTACATTATTAAATATATCATATTCTGTTTTTATATAGAGGATTTTTTTCTTATTCTATGCATTTGTGATAAATTTATATTACAAAATATATATTTAATATATACATAAAGGGGACCAGCAGTATTTGCTTAAAGGAATTTAAATATCATTTATTGAGGCAATTTCCAAACAAAATAAAAGAAATCAAGACAAATTTTTTTAATAAGCATTTGAAGAATAATGGCACATTGTTTCAAAAAAAAATGTTTCTTATTTTGGTTTGAATTTAATCAATCTTATGCAGCAATGTCGAAAAAAAAAAAACAAATTAATTAATTAATTTTGATAGGATTTAGAATGTAATAATTGGATTACTTCTGGTTTATTGTGCTCATATAAAGTTGAACTTTTGTGGACGTGTTATTGTGTCGTGTAAATGATAATGAAAGAAAACATTTTATGCTTTTTTTAGTTTTGGTGTGAGGGAGGACTGGGTATTGAAAGTAATGTTTGGCCGGTTGCATGTTGGACAAAACAGAATATGTTTAAGCGAGTTTGTTGTTTATTTGATACTTTGTAATTTTTTTAATAATAAATTTACTTTTGGCATGTTGCTTGAATGCTGTGATTATTCAATTTTTGTTTCATATTTTGTTTTAGTTGTTGTAATAATAATAATAATAATAATTTAATTATTGTATTGTTAAATATGTAAGTGTTACAGTGAAAGTGAAACCATTAAACTGAGAGATTATGTTTTTGCAATACACTTGTACGAACATACGTATGTAGTATTTTTTGGGATATGTCCCTCAAGAAATTAATCAGGGATTTAAGAAATCAATGAAACATTAGATAATATATTTGTTGTCGATAAAACCCACACTGCTATTCTCTATTGACCAAGACAAGTTGAGTTTGTTCTTTAGGATATCCCAAGGATATCTGGAATTCAATTTCAATCAATGCCGGTCTCAGATTCGTTTAAAATCAAGAACATCTAACCCACAATTTGAAAACATGTGTTAGACAAATGTTTTAGTTTTAGCAAAAAAAAAAGTAAGTAAAATGTACAATAATTTCTTACTGTTGAACAATGGAAACAATTATACTAACTAAGTTTGCTTGCGTTGCTCAGAAATTTATTTTCCACTCAACCAACATATTTTTTTATATAGAACAAGTCCATATGATGTTCTTTAGTACTTGTATTTATCTTAAAAACAAACTCGAATATGTGTGTAAGTGTGAGGTTTTCTATCCACAACAAAGTCATTATGGTGTTTGGATGCTAGTTCAGGTTGAAAGAAATATTAGTTATGTATAAAATATGATTAAGTTGATGGGCACGAAGCAAATATCAATAAATGGCATAAACGAAATTAAAATTTTACTTCTTTATATACACCGCTAAATGTAAATTTTTGCGTCAATTTTTTTGTTTTTTCTAAACAACAACAAAAATCATACATCGTTGATTAAATTTAAATATAAAAGTACTTTTTAACTTAGATTAGTTGAAATGAAGAGAATTTGTTTAAATCCAAAACTACCTAACTACATGTACGCGATGAAACTGGTTTGTGTTTAGCATTTATCTTCTTCGTCCTCATCATCGTGAAATATCTCTTATTATACGACGCAGTGTTTCCATTTTTTTAATGCGTTTACGTGTATACAACAATAACATATATCAATTAGTGTAAACACATACTAAACCACATATGTCGTTGATGTATTCGTGTGCTTTGTTTTTATTAATGGAAGTGTTTTTTTTTTTTTGTTATATTATTGTAAATTCAATTTACTTCTGCGATTTTATACATATTTTTTCTTGCTTTAGTTACAGTTGTTGTTTTCATTTGTATACAACATTATATAATAAAAATTATAGCTATATTATTTAATAATAATTATAATAATAAGAAAAACAGTTTTTTTACTTGACTGGTCCTTGTTAAAAATACGCTCTTTTTTATAAAAATAATATTTTTATATACAACAGACTTGAATACCTGAAAAAAAGACAAACATAAAAAAGTATTTATAATATTTATTAAATTTGATTCAAAGAGTTCAGCCCAATTCTAAATGTTCACAGGTGTAGAATTTATCTTTACTCATTACATAAATAAAGATAAAAAATTAGTTTTGATGAAAAGGCACAAATTTTGAATTCCTAATTTAAACATAGTCTCATAAAAGCTCAAGTGAAAAAATTTTCATTAGTCAACATTTTAAATTGGGCTAATAATTAATTGTATGTATTAAAGATGTGGTTCTAACAATTCATTTTCATTATTTTTTCCGGAAAACGAAACATTTTTTATCAGACTTATTTGAACTCAGACTTATTGAACAGTAAACCCAACTTTCAGGTGTCGTATAAAATACAGGGTGAGATGAAAAAACTGCAACCAACCTCAGACTGCTGTCATTTTCTAAGCTGTTAAAATTATTCCTGTGACAGCTCATTATATTCTTTACAAGCGTAGAAAAGTTATTCGTGATGGAAATCAAGCGTGATAGTGTGATTTCTTTATATTTGGCTGGAAAACATCAAGTGGCTATCGTTAGAGCACTCCAGCATTTTAATGTGAATAAATCTTTTGTGTCTCGTCTCGTACCATCGCTTGTTACCGTGATACTGGTAGCGTAGCCGGACGTCAAGGAAGTGGACGGAAGAAAACAGCAACATCAGCAGAAATGGTTCGAAAAGTAAATAAGCGACTTGATCGAAACCCGCGTAGCAGTAGCCGAAAAATGGCTCGTGAGCTGAACATATCACATTATTCCATTAGGCAAACATTGAAAAATGAGCTCGGGGTAAAGCCATTGAAATTCCAAAAAGTGCAAGAACTTACACTCAAAAGAGCTGCCGAATTTGGTTTTCTCCGTTGAAAAAACATTCGTTGTCCAGCAGTTTGTTAACAATCAAAATGATCGTGTTTACTTGCCAAAGAGGTCATCTGAAAATGTGCACCTTCGGTTGGCCACCCGAACTCAAGCGGCCGATGGTCGCTCTCCGCTCATATTTATCGACCATGGCATCAGAATAAATACCGAATATTATCGCGAAAATATTTTGGAGGGTTTATTAAATAATTCCTGCCTTCACAATTATAAAATTTGATGCTATTTCCATCATTTTTTGCTTTCATTTAATGAAATTAAAGAAAATGTAAAAATTATGCCATCTGACTTTGTTTCAGTTTTTTTTATATCACCCTGTACAAGGGCGACATTTTCATGAATTTTTTATCATTCCAAGTTCATATATTACCAAGTTCTAGATGTTCAGCTTCCACTATTCTAGCACCAACATACTAACTATTTTTATGACAATAGAATCTTGTTTTGATTTAATACCGTATCTTTTATACATCCATGACTGTACATACATATATAATGCATACAATAAATTTTTTTAAAATATATCTAATACAAAGGTTGCATGTTACCGACTTACCTTTCAGGTATTTTAGCTTATCCACATCTTATTTTCAGTTTGTAAAGTAGTATATAAATATATATACACAAGAAGAAAACCATATTCCAGTATATGTGTAGGCATATTTATAATATAGTTACTTTAAGTTGCATACGTACATACAATATAATTTATGCGTATCATAATAATTATATATGTATGCAATGTATTGAATAGATGATATTTTTCTATTTCAATGGAGTAGTATATAGGTAGTAGCACATACGGTTGTATTTATTAGCAGGCAAATATTGTAGTATTGGTAGTAGATATTAGTTATGATAGTACTAGTAGTAGTAGTAGTAGTAGCAATAGTATTCTCTGTTTTAGTAATATTTGAAATGTGCTTTGTAGTCTTTTTAAATATTTACTATAGCATATTCTATCAAAAAGTCTATAAAAATTTTAAAAGAAACAATGGTTGTTCGATTTTAAATAAATATGTAAAATTCGGAGTGAAAGAAATTGCAATATTTCTGATGGCCGATAATTCCATGAGTTAAACAAAGTTTACAAGTGGTTGGGTCAAAATTATTGACAGTACGATGACAATCTGTCAGAAAGCAAGCCAACTTTATGTACACACATGAATTTCATTTTACCAAAATAAAGTCTTTGACTACAAAAAAATTCGGGTGGGTGCAAAAACATCGGGACGTATTTTTTTAATTATTGTTATTATTTCTATTCGTTTTACGTCCACTGCCGTTAGCTGAAAGGGAGTTATTACATTCAATCGTCTCATTTCGTTCACGAGCATGTGTGGTTTTAAAGTCTTTGGAATCAGAACGTTGATTACGGGAAGATGCAATTGTGTTACTATTTATACTACTACTATTCAAACTACCGCCACCAATACTAGAATTAACTCCTGTACTTTGACGATTTTCACGGGTAATATCTGCAAACGATATAATGAAATAATAACAGAAAAGCGTTTAAGAAATGGCGAACAAATAAATGGATGATGTATGCTCTTGCTTACCCTTTTCTTTGGAATTTTCAGTGCGCAATGTTACGGAAGATAAATTGCTGCCACTATTCACAGCACCAGTGGTTTGTGTTGAAGATGCAGCACAAGCACCTGTGGAATTTACTACACCGACAGTACCAGCTACATTATTTACAGATGAAGCACTGCCACAATTGGTGGCAATAGGTGTGATTGTAGTCTTTTCATTATTGTTATTATTATTTACAAGATTAGCAGCTGTGTTCGTGGAGGATTGTGTTGTTGCGGTTGCCACTGTTACTGTAGTACTCATTATCACTTCTTGTTTATTCCCAGCAACAGGCGATGACAATGAAATTCCAACGGCATTGGTAGTAGTGGCATTGTCGTCCTTACACTGAGCTACTTGAGCGTAACTTAAACGCGAAGCTGAAGATCCCCCAGTGGCTACAGCAGGTATTACATGTGTAGGTGTTACGACTGTCAGGTTCTCTGTAGACGTCGAATTAGTGGAAGTGGAGGCATTTTTTTGTTTGGTAGCGTCTTTTGGCGATTCTTTTTTGGCAACTAATGCAGCTATGGCGGGTGGTTTTTTGTGATTGTTAATGTTACATTCGGCAAGGTTCGTGGTCATTGTAGCAACACTACACACGTTCGCAACAGCAGCTGTTGGCCCGCTGACATTCTTGGAATTGCGATCCTCGTTGCTTGAGCTGTAGTTTTGAGATGGTACTATGGCCGAGGCCACCTTGTTGTTGTTGTTCATATTGTTGCTTCCATTGGCCGCAGTAACAATTGTATTATCCATGGCATATAGCAAATATTCATCAGTCTTGTTAGTTTTTTCATTTGGAATAGTAGTTGGGCCACTGCCTCCAATTGAACCGCTACTATTGCCTACAACACCAGTCTGGTTATGGCTCTGGTCTGCAGGCAATGTTGTGGAGGAAGGAGCAACGAACGTGGCGGCAACATTGTTGCTAGCCTTCATATTTGTCGTATGGTTTGGTTGTGTTACACACTTTATCACAGTTGGAGAGCTATTAGCGTTATTAGAATTTTGTTTATTTGTCAATGATTTGTTTATGTTATTGTTGCTGCTACTATATGCAGATTGTTCACGTTTTATGTCGTCGGAATTAGAATTCTCTATTGAGGATGAATTTAAAAAAATTGAGGCGTTATTATTGGTTGTGGCAGCCATTTGCGTAGCATTGCTGTTGGTGGGTGTGGGACTAACCGCCGATAAGTTCCCACGATGCTGTTGTGATTGTTGATAGTAATATTGTTGCTTATTGTTGTGGCCAGAATCTTTGCGTGATTTTTTTCCACTTAAGCCACCACTGGTACCAGTTTGTCCGCCACCATTGTTGCCATTGCCACCAGCACCACTGCCACGGACTACATCAGCTAAACGATTTTCAGACCAACCACTACCACCATTAGTACCGTTTCCCGAACCGGTTGAGGAACTTTGTTGTTGCTGCAACTGAGGATTACTGTTGTTTATATTTTGTTGCAGCGATTGCTGATGTTGTTGGTGATAGGGTTGAGTATTGACGTTTTTTGGCTGCTGCTGTTGTTGTGGTTGCTGTTGATGATGTTGTGTTTGTTGATCTTGAATAACAGCGCTATTGCTGCTAGTGCTATTGCTACTGATAGTCATGTTGTTGTTATTGGCAGAAGTTGTAGCGTCATTTAAACTCACTTGTTGCTGATGATGCTGCGTATTGGCAGTTTGTTTGGTGGAATTGGAACCACCGGTTGGAGCGACATTACTGGAGGCCACTGACGAAGAGGTGGCTGAAAAATCAATGAATTAGTTCAAAATGCAGTAAATTAAAAAAAAATAATTTAAATTTTATTAAAACATTTTAAAAACCCTACACATGTCTGGAATAAGGGTTAAGAGAACTATGTCTAAATTAACTCATTTCATTGATTATTATGTTGGACATGAACGTAAAGTAGAAACATATTTGCTTTACATGAATAAATAAAATTCGAACCCCTAATTATGCTTCTATCTAGTACGGCCGTTTTGCCAAAATTTACAATACAGAGTGAGATGAAAAAACTACAAATACTTTAGACTGTTGTCATTTCTAAGCCACTTGTACGACAACTGTTAAAATTATTCCAGTCACAGCTCATTATTCGTGATGGAATTCAAGCGTGATAGTGTGATTTCTTTATATTTGGCTTGAAAACCACAAGTGGCTACCGTTAGAGCACTCCAGCATTTAAATGTGAATAAATCTTTTATGTCTCGTACCATCGCTCGTTGCCGTGTTACAAGCAACATCAGCAGAAATGGTTCGAAAAGAAGCGACTTGATCGAAACCCGCGTCACAGTCGTGAGCTGAACATATCGTAATATTCCATTCGGCAAATATTGAAAAATTAGCTCGGCATAAAGCCATTAACATTCAAAAAAGTTCAAGAACTTATACCTCGCTTCATTTTCAGCGCACAAAGGCCACCAAAATCTCCGGATATCAATCCGCTGGACTATTGTGTCTGGAGTATTTTGGAAAGCAATACTAAAGTGTCGATCACCTGAAGCAAGCGCCTGGAATGGGCCAAAATACCGCAGAGCAACATTCGGACAGCATGTGACGGTTAATTGGCCATTTTAAGGCCATAATTCGTGCCGAAGGTAACCAATTCGAACAAATTATTCTAAAATTTGATGCTATTTCCGACATTTTTTGCTTTCATTTAATAAAACTTAAAAAAATGTAAAAATTATGGCGTTTGATTTTTTTGCAGTTTTTTTTTTTATCTCACCCTGTACATAAAGTAACAGCTCATGACAGAGGTATGTTAATATAAAAAATCACAATTACTGAAACGAATGACAAATAAATGTTTGAAAAATCCAAAAATGTGATTTCAAAATTCTATTCCATAGACCCTTCCAAAAATTTAAAATTGGTTAATATTGGTAACAACAGAGGTATTTCAAAGGGCTTTTCTATTTTCTCTTATTTGAATGAACTCGATAGACCAGCAGGTCCCCGAGTGGAGCTGTTGTCTTAAGACAACGGCTCCTCTTTATCCCAACTTAACCGAACTATATAATTAATATTGATGTCAGTGTATATTGATAAAGACAATAACTTACCTGGCAGTGGTGGAAACGCAGCTGCTTCCAGATCAAATTGCGGTGGTTGTGGTGGAGCAACATTTTGTTGCTGCTGCTGTTGTTGTTGATGATGATGGTGATGTTGATGATGGCCTCCCTGATGATGGCTGTTATGATGGTAGCTATCGTGATGACGACCACCGCCACCACCATGACCTCCGCCAGATCGTTCATTGTTACCACTATAATTAGAACCACCGCCACCAGCATGACGGCCACCTTCATAATTGCGGCCTCCACCAACATCACGGCCACTACTAACACCACCGCCTCCTCCTCCACCACCGCCTCCACCACCTTCAGTATTGTGATGATGCGCATTGTAATGATGAGAATTTGATGAAGACATTTGATGATGAGCAGATGATGATGAAGCCGAAGAAGAATGATGTTGTTGCTGTTGTTGTGTTTGCTGTTGTTGTTGAGACGATCCACTTGTATTGCTATGGTGTTGGCTATGATGGTGAGCTGAGGAATTCCCCGACGAATGGTGATGACTTCCATTTCCACTATTATAATGTGGATTGTAGTTGTTGCCTTTGTAGCCACCACGATGCTCATTATCACTACGATGCGATGAATATCCACCACCGCCACCACTACCATGGTGACCACCACCACCACCACTTATATCATTGCGATTTGAATGATGATGGCTGCCGCCGCTTCCTCCTTGGCCCGAAGACATGCCACCACCTGATCCTCCGCTATTGCCACCTTGCTGTGAATGGTGTCCCGAATTGTACGATTGCTGTTGAAAATTAGAAGAGTGCATTAGATGTTGTTGATTCATTTGACTATTAATTTGATTAGTAGTTGTTGTAGTAGTAGTAGTAGTAGAATTGGAAGGAATAATGTTGTTGTTGTTTGTTTGATCGTTAGAAATATTAAAGGTTGCTGTAGATGCAGACTTTATGTAATTCTTTGAAGTTGAGTTTGCTATTTTGGAGGTGTTATTTTTACTTTTATATTTGGATGAGGTATATGTGGCGGAAAATGCGTTTTTGTTGTAGTTGGTGGTGACATTGGCTGTTGTGATGTTTTCGGTATCGGCGGTAGTGGTGGTGGTGGTATGGGTGGTGGGGCTGCCGCCAGTAACTGAATACAATTGTCCAGTACCGTTGACTCCGCCGCCGCCCCCGCCTCCTCCCCCATCTACACCCATCACCTTCACTTGGTTTAAAAAACCGCCAAAGCCGCCGCCGCTGCTGTTGGTAATATTATTTTTATTACCCAAATCCATGGCTTCAAAACCTCCTCCACCTGCTCCTATCATACTAAAACCCCCACCTATGTCTACTAGAATATTGCTAGTGCCACTAGTAGGGTTCAAGTAACAACCACTGTTAGTAGATACGGTAGTATAAAAAGTTGCAATACTAACCCCACCGCCTCCTCCACCAATGCGATTATTGGGCGAATATGTCATTCCCGAATTATCATCATCACGCCGTCTTCGCCTGGGTCTTGATTGAGACCAATGTGGGGGTTCTTTACTACCCCCCACCGAATTGGCCAGCGATGATGAAGAAGATGTCATATTATTACGTTGATTATGGTGATGACCACCACCACCTCCCCCACCACCCTGTTGCTGGGCACTGTGAACTTGAGTCTGGTGTATTACTTCACCAACATCTTCTTGCAAATCGTGTTGTTGCTGTTGATGCATTTGTTGCTGCTGTTGCGAATGGTGATGTTGCTGTTGCCCCGACACAGAGGGCGCCGAATGGTTCCCATAGGTAGAATGTTGCATCGAAACGTTTTGTGTATTAGAGGAAGGCATTTGATAGTGACTCTGTTGTAAATGAGTAGGAGCGCTAGTCGACATTTGCTGCGACTGCTGTTGCTGAGTTTGTACATGGTGAGTTGACTGATTCTGCGTATTATAATGATGATGGCTGCTAAGAGTAGCAGTATTACTACCAGTATAGGACTTTTCTACCGATGTCTTCGGTATGCCACCTGCATAAAATTAACGAAAAATATTACAGACCATTATCGAGAAGGCAAACTAAGCGGATTTACCTGTATTAGATTTCATACTGGAATAATGTCTTGAACTATTGTTTTGCTGTGAACCAGACTGTTGTTGTTGACTTGAAGTCGGCTGTTGTGGTTGTTGCTGCATTTGATGCTGTTGCGACATTGGTTGTTGCTGATGTGGATCAACAATTGTAGGCATTACGCTAACAAGACCTCCAGTACCTCCAACGGCCACGCTGGACACAATTATATTGCTTCCAGCCAACTGAGGTTGAGGCCCTTGTTGCAGTTGCAAATTAGCATTACGGGACTGTTTACGGTGACCACCACCACCTGATGTTCCACTACTGTTGCTGGCATTATTGCGATGACTATTATTGTAACGGCTACTCCCTCCACCGCTACCACTGTTACCACCACCGCTTTGTGGTTTTGTGTTTCCACTTAAACCGGGCGTTGCAGTTGGTGGCTGAGAGGCTGCATTATATGCTGCTTGAGGTATGCTATTGGTTGCAAACACATTACTTATTTCATAGAAATTCTGTCCATGGGCTGTAGTAGCGGCTGCTACAGCAGCTGCTGCCGAAGGCCATGGAGTTACTATGCCAGGAAAGAATTGTTGTTGAGGAAATTGCTGAAAACGGAACGAACATACTTTACGATTTCCTCATCTAGAGTATATCACAAATCAATACTTACTATTACATGCAATTGGCCATTATATGGAACCGGCGGTTGTGTGATAGCTGCGCCATTTGCAGTATAGACAAAACGTTGAGGAGCGGCATTATAGGCAACTGCGGCCGCCGCTGCTGCCGTATTAGGATCATAAACAGCGGCTGGAGGCGAGGTCAAACGAAATCCATTTTTCAATGCTGAAACTGGACCGATTGGTAGTCGATGTATAAACGGTTTCGCTTTCATTCGAGCCATTATTGGTTTACCCTAAACAAAAATGTTATTTAATCATCATCACAACAAAACTTGCACAGGATCATACATACCTGAAATTCCTTTACATCTTCTCTCAAATACTTGAAAGCCTTTTGTGCATCATCATCGGACTCAAATGTTATATACCATGAGTTATTACCAGCAAATTCGCAAGACAATACCCTTGGACAGTTTTCACTGTTAAAAATATTCTGTAAGACACACGAAATGGACATAATTATGGTACAGTTATTCCTAAAGACATTTTTCTTTACAAACCTTGACTGTTTCAACGGGAGTTGTTTGTGGAATTTCACGTAAAATGATGATGCACCGTTTGTGATTTGGTCTCACTCTAAGACCCTCTTCATCTACTTGCACATTTGGCGATTCTCTAAGCACTTCTGTTATTAGTTTAATATCTTTGGTTAGTTTCTTAACCAAATTAAAGTTGGCAACTGTAAATATGGGTACATATTGATCGCTATCCATTTGTGATAAAAGCCATGTATCATTAGCCAAGTTCTCCCTGTAAGTAGATAAAATATATTACACAACAAATAACATGACAACATATTTAATGATGTATGTATAACTATATAACTTATATAATCTAAATATCGACCAAGAATATCAATGGCTTCAAAAAATGTACGCAAGTTTATTTGGTAATATTGCATTATGATTTTTGCAAAACGTGAGTAGTGATAGACTGAAATATAGTCGTATGAATATGAATTGAATTTCAAAGCGAAACAAAACTAAGTGTCCGTTTAATACTAACGTTACAATTTGTTGAGTTTCTTTTGTATAATATACTTTTATTTTGTAAATTCTCTTGGGATCCTCTATTATTGTATCCAAGATTATTGTCTTTGATACTGGCCTTATTTATACAAAATGATGAAATAAGACTACAACTGGTAAAAATAAGAAATTTTTCAGCGTAACATGTTCCCAAAAATTCTAAATTCCAAAAAGAAATTGCCTTTTCGTCTTGAAGAAAATATGAAGTGAACAATATTAATTATTTTATCTTTCTTCCGTGATAATTTATATATTTGCATTTGCCTTTTGTTTCTTAAAACACACTCCACATAACCAATTTAGAATTGTCATACTTTTGTGACACGTTTTTGCAAATAGCCGTGCTTGTATGTAGCACATCGCAAAAAATCGAATATCGAAGACGCGCTGATGTAGACATATTTAGAAAATGCAATATGAACTCTAGATTAAGTGATGTTTTCAGAACATTTTTAGAAATATAATCGACAGATGTTAGTCCAACATACCTTGAAAAATAATATTCCAATTGTGTGGCTAACGATTGTTTCAACTGCTCCAAAGACATAGTGTTACTTTCAGCCCCGCCTCCGGTATTACCACTAGAATTTGAGGAAGCATTGCTACTGCTATTTGCTGGCATATTGTTGGTGTTATTATTGGCACCTCCAACCACATGTTGCTGGGACTGTTGTGGTTGGTGGTGATGTTGTTGCTGCTGTTGGTGTGGTTGCGTTATGGATTGTTGCTGCTGTTGTTGGGCTGGAGGCGGTGGAACATTTGTAAGAATGACATGATGCTGAGCGTGGGCGTTGTGTTGTTGTGTCGCCGCTGAAGCTACAGGTGTACCAGACATTTGATCGACAGCAACTAAGTTAGCTGCACCCGGTGGACCAACTCCAACACTGATCAACTCATCTTGGCTATAACAGACAACAGTGCCATCTTGGGCTATAGTTCCATTCATGACTGTATATTCGGTGTTATCAATCGTTGTTGTAGTAACTGTGGGCCCTTGCCCGGCTGCAGCAGCCATTGGGGCCTGATGGGCATACTGTATATGGGGTTGCTGTGGATGGCCTTGTACTTGATGGGCTTGTGGGGGCTGTGGTGTAGCAGCAGCTACAGCAGCTGCAGCTGCTGCTGCCTGTACAGTTTGAAGCGAATGTTGTTGTGTGTGTGGGGCTGCAGTATGGGCTGCAATTAGAGGTTGATGTTGACCCGGTGCCGGGGCTACTTGTAAAGCTTGATGGTGTGGTGGTTGCGGTCCCGCTGTTGTCGCAATTAATGGGATGTGTGTTGCGGCCGGAGCTGCCAATTGTGTGGGTTGACCATATATATTGGTCGCTAGCATTGCCGTATCAACAGGAACATTTGCGTAGACGGTGGTAGCAACTGGTTGTTGTATCTTCACAGCATCACTATTCATATAAACATAACCTCCTGTGTGAAAATTTAAAGAAAGAGATATGTGAAAAAAATTGTTCAATTTATACATAAAATAATGAGTCTTGATAGTTTTGGCTTTAAATGGTAATAGGGACATTGAAAACTTGAACAAACAAAACAAAATAGGTCTTAGCTAATTCGTTCGGTGTGTAACATGCAGAAGACGATATAGACCATAATATAACGATATAGACCCATAATTATTATTGATAATCTCCATAGAATCCTATTCTGAGTCGATTAGTACATGTTCGTCCAAATCAGGCACTCCCCCACAATATAATTTGATAACAGTTATCAGATACAGCTTGGAAATTCCTCTGCCTCTGTTTACCTCTGTTTACATTTGGATATAGCTCCCTTTATATCTTCTTAGACTTGATTATTGTACACCAAATGAGTCGATTTATACATGTTCGTACATCTCTCTGTTCATATCATTTATTTGACCCAAGGACTAACCCTTTGGAAATTGGTGATAATCGGCCTAAATTTTGACACAGGGTTAAATGAAAAAACTGCAACCAACTTCAGACTGCTGTCATTTCTAAGCCACTCCCCGACAGCTGTTAAAATTATTCCAGTGACAGCTCATTATATTGTTTACAAGGGTACAAAAGCATTTTGGTGAGATTTTTCCCGAAAAAAAGTTATTCGTGATGGAATTCAAGCGTGAGCTGAACATATCGCAACATTCCAACATTCGGCAAATATTGAAAAATGAGCTCGGGGTAAATCTGTCGAAAATCAAAAAAGTGCAAAAACTTACACCGCAAAGAAAGAAAATAGACTCAAAAGTGCTAAAGAGTTGCCGAAAGTGGTGATCTGCAGAGTTTGGTTTTCTCCGATGAGAAAACATTCGTTGTCCAGCAGTTTGTAAACAAACAAAATGGTCGCGTTTACTTCGCAAAGAGGTTATCTAAAAATGTGCACCTTCGGCCACCAGAACTCAAGCGCCGGCTATGGTGATGGTGTGGCCTGCCATAACAGCCAATGGTCGCTCTCCGCTCGTATTAATCCACCGTGGCATCAGAATAAATGTCGAATATTATCGCGAAAATATTCTGGAAGGTGTATTAAAACTTGGGCAAACATTTTGGCCGCAGACCTTGGACATTCCAACAGGACCATTACATTTAGCACGCGCCACTCAAGAATGGTTAAAAATGAGGTTCCTTGCTTCATTTCCAGCGCAGCGTTGGACTATTGTGGCTGGAGTATATTGGAAAGCAAGGTTGGCACTAAAAATACCAAAGTGTCGATCACCTCAAGCAAGCGCTTGGCCGGAAATGGGCCAAAATTCCGCAGAGCAACATTCGGGCAGCGTGTGACGGTTTCATTGGCTGTTTGAAGGCCAAAGGAGACCAATTCGAACAAATGTAAACTTATTCTAAAATTTGATGCTATTTCCGACATTTTTTGCTTTCATTCAATAAAATTAAAAGAAAATGTAAAAATTACGGCGTCTGACTTTGTTGCAGATTTTTTTTATCTCAGCCTGTATATAAATGTCGGTCAATAGATAAACCAACTGATGGATTGTCAGAAACACAATCAGATGAGTTATGTCGAAAGGCTGAACGAGACCAACAAATGATACAATAATAAAAGTAGTAATAATAACGGTAAAGCAGATATTTTTTCTAAGAATTTTTTTACAGATTTGTACCTACTTCATGTATTTAAGATATTGAGTGCAAAACTCGCAATTATGTTAGAATTAACAATTTTTCATCAGTACATCTTTATAATTGTATAGAGGTGTCAAAAGAATACTATAGGCAATAATATAATAATATAAAAAAATAGCAATTTATAATTATGCAACTTTATCTAATGCCGTCTCAGGCACGGATTTTACTAAAGTCGACTTGCGTTTTGCTATTTGAAATTTTAAGTTTTCCTCATAAAAAATCAATGTAAAATGTGGCAAAAAATTGTTTTATTTTATTTGAAATATATACCAATTTGATAAAAATGGTTGAAACTAAATTAGAATAAGAAAATTTAACATTTATTGTAAATATTTTTGAATGGCATTTTGAAGATGAGCACATTCCTAAATTGCCGACTACTGGGACACTTACCCTACCCCTACACAGACAATAGATGTAATGAATTTCTGACATATTTCACATCATTAATAATGATTCTCCCATTATTCCCAAACTAAGACACAATAGTTTGCAAAGTTTCCACAAAGGTTCAACAATTATCCTGGCATAAATATTATCATATATAAAATACGGCACATATGTAGGTACACACTCAATAAATAATTGTAAGAGCTCATGTGAAAAGACGAACACATCTTTCTTTAACATCACCTCATATTTACGTTAATTCGTCCATGTCCCTCATAAGTGTATACGGTTAAATGTTGTTTTCCCAAAGACTAGTTTCTAAATTCAAGTACCCAATTTTAATTTTAATTAATTGTCTACCTTTACGTCTCATGAAAAATAAGGACGAAACACTAAGCAAGACATAGACAGGCAATACAGCCGACAAATACGAATAAGGAATATAAGGAGAACGAATAAAATAAAATAAAAAGTAACACATGTAAAGCAAATACAGCGATATTACACAATAATTGCAATACGGAAAGAAATGAAAACTAATTTTACACGATGTATGGGTTTGTATGAGTGTATGTACATGTTAGAAATGGAAAAAGGACATGTTGACAGTCGATATAGTTTTCTACGAACCCACAAAATAATCCATTGTGAAACGTTTTTTATTGCAGATCTATGCCAAATAAAAGAAAACCTATATTAAATTCTGCTTGTCGGTTAGGTGTTTTTCTTTGTTGAACACACTCTTTTTCTATCAAATAAAGAGTGTGTGGTGTGTTCGTAGAAAAACAACAGCAATAATGATGTTGGTTGGTTGTATGTTTATGGTTGCGGCGACGACGATGATGATGATATTTTCGTAGCTTTTTTAGGTGGAGCTTTGCTTATTTTCACTTTATTTTAGATCTATTTCTTTGCTGTGTTGCACCCTGCACCTTTTCTCCACCACACTACGACTGCTTAGCAGGCTTGTGTTGTGTGGCAAAATAGCAAAAATGGTTAAGAAAATGCCAGCGCCTGTGACTGTCCGTCCGGCTAGCTGGCGACAGCAATGCTACTTCTGCTGCTGCTGGCTGGCTGACTGGTTGGTTGGGTTGATTGGTTAGCTGATGTTTCGTTTAATTTAGCTTGGCGAACGACGACCGACACGGGTGTACGTACGATCGACGTACGTACGTACCCTCGACAAAAAAACTTGGCGTTTTTGCAGAGTCCTTTCTTCTTTGTATTGTATGTTGTTGTTGTTATTAAGAGAATGAACCAATTACTCAATAAGAAAAATAAACCATTTTGAAGATTTTGTAGTCACTTGTTAACTTGTTCACGAGTTTGGAATTTATTTCCAAACGTTAGCAAAGTAACTTTGCTGCAACTTTATCGGTCGGGTATTTATTTTTCTTTATTTTATTTCCATTTTTTCGCTGGCCTTATACATTTTTATTCATTCAATATTGTGCACTATTCTTTTTCATTCGCTTCGCCTCTTTCTCTCGTTTTCGTAAATGATGGTAAATGTCAAATCCAAATCCGAAATACACTTTTTGCTTTTATCTTTCTTTGTCTTCTTCTCTCTTTTTTCTTGCGTGTGCTTCCCCAATGACTATTGTAATTATACCAACGATTTTAAGGTTTAGTTTTTATGTTAATGTTTTAAATAAGTTATTAAAATTAATTTTTTGTTGTTTGCACTTTCTTTATGGGCACATCACATATGTATCTGTATCAGGGATTTTTTTTCCTATTTCTTCTTGTTGTTGGCTTGCGGAATAACTTTTTTCTAATTTGCAAATTCACCACCACCTTTTTTCACAAATATTTTTTCATTCCTCACACACTGCTTTTGACCAGCTTGAAATGTTTAAATAAAGCCTTCGAATCGTGTATATTTCAATTGGTATTGTGATATTTCTAATCCATTTTTATCAGTACATAAAATTGTAACATTTTCTTGCAGTAAATATTCCGAAAAAATATTTTTTTCTTTAAAGACCATTGAGTAAGTCGATTCGTCGTGTCACCGTTTAACTTTCGCTCAAATACAATTGACAATTGTTCTCGTTCGTTCGTATTCGTAGCTATGTTCTTGATTCCGGCCGATTCTCACCATATTCGTAGCTGTTTCTTCTCGATTCCGCCTCCCACAACATTTGCAGTTGTGTCCTCTATATTCCGGCTCCCACCAATGGACACTCTTATTCTTCTTCATTTTTTTTTTCTGTTAGCGCCATCTATATTTGATATTACCATGCTGACAACAACAGTAGCTTTGTTCCTAAACTCCATACTTTCATTCACACAAGAAAAACGAAGAAAAATATTGGGAGAGAAACAACTAAACTTTTTTCATTCGTGATCCTTTTTGCCACTGTATTGAAGCCAATGTGTGTCAATGAATGAATGAAAATGACAAATGAAAAAAGTTATAAATGAAATATTTTTTTTTCTTATTTTCATAAAACAAGAATCTAGTTCCTGATAAAGGCTTTATCACGGTACAATAAAAAGTTAAGTTACAGCTGCCATCTGAACGTACCCAGCAGTAAACTTGGGTATGTATTAATTGTTATACCCTACAACACTATGTGTTGGGGGTATTATAAGTTTGATTGGGCCAAAAATTATGTAACACCACGAAATATTGGTTTCCCACATAGGAAAGTATATATGGATCTTCCTATCTCGTCGAGCTGAGTCGATCTAGCTATGTATGTCCGTGCTAAATTGTAATCACTCTACAGGTCGCAATTATGGTACGATCTTCACGAAATTTAGAATGGAGGTGCGGCTAGGGTCAGAATAGAACCCTATTTCTTTTGGAGATGATTGCATAATATTTATGGGTTGAAATGGACCAAAAACTGAAAAAATTCCTGATTTTGGAGTTGCTCTACAGGTCGCAATTATAGACCAATCAAAGCGGAAGTTAGCATGGGGCTAGAACTTAGGGCTGGGCAGAAGCCTTCCAATTTTGATGGTTATTGGGTAATATTTAGTGGGTGAAATAGGCCACAACATTTGTGTTAAATAAAAGTCAAATTTTCCATTAAACCGCGAATATTTTTAATCCCGGCGAGATCGCAAATAGACGAACAGGTCAATTCTGACCGTTACGTAGATACCGATAGTAAATATATCGGTTATATATTGCGAAATATATACAATGTGTATATACAAAGGAAGGGGATGTTAGTTAAAATGCGTATATCTCAAGATTGGCTAGACCGATTCTCAAGATTGGCTAGACCGATTTTGACAAATTTTGTAAATTCAAAATTCCCTCTTGGCATAAAAGTATAAAATCAAAAAAAAAAAAAAAATCGCAGAAAAATATGCCAATAATGATGTTAATTTAGATTTTGTAGTATTTTGTGACATTTTTTTATATTTTCATATTTTTTATCGCATGCGATTTTTTCAATTTGACTTATAATATTTTGTAATATTTGTTCACCTTACAACACAGGTTGAGGATATTATATAAGTATTGCAAATATCGTCCGATCCTCACGAAAATTTTCACAAGGGTGGGGTTGGGCTCAGAAGGGCTAGGCCTATTGTTTTCTAAGATGTCCGCAATATATTAGGGGTTTAAATGGACCAACAACTAAAAATTTTGTGTGGAAAAATACCAGCATTACTTACAGGCGAACTTCTGGCTTTTTTATGCTGATTTCGTTGACGAATATAGCCAAATATCGTAGACAAGCAAATCATATAGATGAGTCTAAATTTTGAGATTAAGAGGGGCTTCTTGCTTCTGGAGACGATTGCAAAATATTTAAGGGTTCAAATTAACCAAAAACAGAAATGTTTTTCCGATCACACAATTGGAGCCAATCGACACGCCAGTGAAGAGAGTTAAGGACAGGGTGGAATTCTAGCAGTTTGGATGATCATTGGATTATATTTAGCTGTAAGATGGACTACAACAACTAACAGCCCGACGGAGTGCAGAAATATTGGGCAAATGTCCCTAGTCAAAATCCTAATTTCATAAGGGGGCTTCTAACATATTGTAGTGTTGTAGGGTATAACATAGTCGGCCCCGCACGCCTATAGCCTTTACTTACTTGTTTTAAAATATGATTAAAAAATATTTTCAAAATCAATGATTGGAATAAACGTACATTTGCAGGGCGTGCATTAAATCAATTAACCTATGTGCCATGGAATTTAGATCATATTTTAGATTATTCTTCGCGTTATTTAACTCATATTAAAAAGGAGCACAAATATTAAATAAATGAAAAGAACTTGTTGTATATTATTTTGAATAATTCTCACAGGAAGCGGGTATAGCCTCTGAACTGTATTTCTGTAGTTTTAAGAAGCTGTTCTATCACAATATTGTACTATGGGCTACATGCAGTAATTTTTCTATTTAAGGGACTGTATAATGTCAGTTCTGTTCGCTAAATTGAAACATTCGGTAAATCGAGAAACAGAGTACTACAGAGTCCGCCATATAACCTTTTCTTTTTAATCTATTGCTTATTTCGTGAATGATAACACTTAGCTTATGGCTTAACTCTAGTTTAGTAAAAACTCTTAAATTCTTTTCCATTGGTAGGTATTTTACCCTGATCCCGGGAAATTATTTTTTATTTGGGAACGGACCCGGGAATCTAGATTTTTGACCCGAAAGGTTCAAGACCCCGACTAGACCCGGATCCACCTACCCGATTAAAACATTATAGGTATCATTGGAAAGCTTATGAAAATACCTATCCAACAAGCGACATTATTCACCGGATTTGTTTCAAATTTCGTATTTGAATGGTCTGTGCAGGTATATGCCTTCGTATAGCCCCCATACAACGGTACCCCCCGATATTCGGTATTTTGATGATTTTAGCGACATTATTCACCGGAATTGTTTCAAATTCGGTGTTTGAAGTTCGTAATGAATACTACAGCCTAAGACAGAAAATTGTCTGTGCACGTCCACGTCTTCGTTATCCCCCACATAACGGTACCTCCCTATATTCGGAATTTTGATGATTAAAAGTTGCCTATGCAGATCCACGTGGTCGTATAGACCCTAATATAACGGCTACATCCGGTATTTTTAAGATTTTAACCGAATTTTTTACGGATTTTATTTTTTTTGAAAATTACCAAAATCGTGGAGGGTGTTTAAAGATCCGCCCGGCCAAACTTACAGCTTTTTTTACTTGTTTTTACTTTAAATCGATTCGAATTGCATGCCTTAAAAAAAACGACAATGCATTTTTTTAACATTTTATTTTTTAATTATTTTTTCTCCTTTTTATAATATAATTGTGTTTTATGTTTAAGTTTATCTCATCTCATGTAAATAAAACGATTATGTCCTAAAAATTGAAATAAAAATGAATCCATAAAAACAAAAAAAAATGTTTTTTGTAGGGTAGAACCAAAAGAAAATTAACTAAAAAAGTTAATTACAATTACAGTACAGTACTCGAACTTATCTTGCTTTTCTTCTTTGCTTCCACAAAATTGGCTGCAGACATACCAGCAGGAAAGGACCATGAATAGGGATCAACTTATTTCTTATTCCAAAAATGAATATCATTTTAAAAATGTGCTAAGTTGAGGGAGTTTGAAGGGTGTATAGATTAACAAATGACGATGTAACATTGATTCAATTCTATTATTCACGAAAAGTTTTATCCATTTCTTTTTTTGTTTAAAAAAATCAGTTCGATTATACATTAAATAAAAAGAATTTTATGTTTTATTACAAATATTTTTAGCAGCATATTGCATATACTTGAACAATGTTATTTTTCAATTTAAAAAAATATATATTTATTTTTATATTGAAGAAATTTATAATATTATAAACTAACAGTTTTTATGACTTCATTCAATTAAAAATTTTCTAAACGGGAAAAATCTGAAAGACATTTTTAAAGCAGATTTTCTCGTTGTGATTCAATGTTGGAATTGATTATATCTGCAATGAATTTTGGCTTTTAATAGCTATTGCTGTTTCTTCTATTGTAATTGATTTTGATGGTAGTAGTTGGAGGGTGATGAACGATGAATAAAATCTCCATAAAAGTGAAGAGTAGCAACACCGTTTTTTGATAGTTGGCTTTCTGTGTGTGTGTTTGTTGTGATATTAGCTAATATACATTTCGAAAAAAATGAAACTTGTGTACAGCACATAAAAACCTCGTCAAATATTACTATTTTTGTTTCTATCATATGGTTTTTGTGGCTCTTAGTGGAGGTTTCTTCTATTTGATGAGTAGTGCATAATTTAGAAACCATGCACCTTCAATTGATCAGATTTGGCTAGGCCAACCTTTGTCAACCATTGGCATATGTTTTCACGTTGATCACCCTGGAGTTGTAATACCTCTCCGTATTCGGGATGTTCAATTACAGTGCCGTTACATGCAAATTCCTGAAAATAGAATCATAATTAGTTGCGTTGCTTTTTATAATTATGATATAAGTACAAGGTATATAAAATGAACCCACACTAACTAAAAGAACGATTTCGTTTCATGGCCATAATAACTTTAAATTGTGATTTGGCGGTAACGTCTTGGTGTCCAATTTCTTTTTTTTTTTTTTCAATATCGAACGAATATTAAATGCATTAAAGTTTTCAGACTTAAGAAACCCAAAAACAAAATTTAATTTTAAAGAATTTTAACGGTGGTCAGAAAATCAAAAACAGGACAATCGAGAGATTGTTTCGTTTACTAATTACGATGCAGCTACAAAAAGAGCTCTTTTGCATAGGAGTTTTAGTTTGCATTGTTTAAGTTGAATCCATAATTTATACTTGTTCTCCATTGTTCTTTTGAGCTACATCTTTAAGTTGGTGTCGGAGAACGTATTAGCAATCAAACAATCGCAACAAAAAAAAGTATACAAATGATAAACATCTCATTAAGACAATTTATAAATTGTTTATATAATGTAATACTGGAGATTGTATTTCATTTATATGTCTTCATTAACAATGTGGCTTAACATTTTGATACTACTCACACTTTATATTAGAAATATGCTTACCTTTTTACATGATCGCACAATTTTTTTCAAGTCATATTCCGCTGATAGGCCCTGGACTGTGGTTAATGTTTTGCGGCCATTACGCTGCTGAATTCTTATGTGAACAAGACCGTCTTGAACATCATCATCTGCACCCTTGATTGCATCAGCAAAGGGGTCTAAGAAAGAAAGTTTTTGATTTTAATAAATGCTAAATATAATAAAAGGTTAATGTAGTAGACAAATGTTATAGCTGAAGAGTGGCGTAAAAAAAAACGTTCAACTTGTTACTTCTTGGAATATTTAGTAATGGTGCCCTTATAGAATTTACTACTAAAACGCAAAGCCATTAAACCACCATTTCTTCTAGTAATATTTATTTGATAGTAATACATAAAACGCCTGGAAAGCCAATTACAGGGTGAGATGAAAAAACTGCAACCAACTTCAGACTGCTGTAATTTCTAAGCCACTTATTCGACAGCTGTTGAAATTATTCCAGTGACAGCTCATTATATTGTTAACAAGTGTACAAAAGCACTTTGGTAGGAATTTTTCAGAAAAAAGTTATTCGTGATGGAATTCAAGCGTAAAAGTGTGATTTTTTTATATTTGGCTGGAAAACCACAAGTGGCTATCGTTAGAGCACTCCAGCATCTAAATATGATTAAATCTTTTGTGTCTCGTACCATCGCTCGTTACCGTGATACTAGCTAAAGAGCTTCGCTTCGCTTGACCGAAAGTGGGGAACTGCTGAATTTGGTTTTCTCCGATGAGAAAACATTTGTTATCCAGCGCCGGCCATGTTGATGGTGTGAGCCGCCATAACAGCCGTGGAATCAGAATAAATGCCGAATATTATCGCGAACATATTCTGGAGGGTGTATTAAAGCCTTGGGCACGCAAATATTTTGGCCGCAGACCTTGGACATTCCAACAGGACTCAGCACCATCGCACTCAGCACGCGCCACCCAAGAATGTTTTTCCTTTCCAGCGCACAATGGTCACCAAAATCTCCATATAACAATCCGTTGGACTATTGTGTCTGGAGTATTTTGGAAAACAAGGTTGGCGCTAAAAAAGTACCAAAGTGTTAATCAAAATACCGCAGAGCAACATTCGGGCAGTGTGTGATGGTTTCATTGGCCATAATTCGTGCCAATGGTGACCAATTCGAAAAAAATCTAAACTTATTCTAAAATTGTATGCTATTTCCGATATTTTTTGCTTTCATTCAATAAAATTTAAAAAAAATGTTAAAATTGTGGCGTTTGATTTTGTTGCAGTTTTTTTATCTCAACCTGTATTTTCTTCACGTTCATATAAATACATATGATTTTAGGTAGACCTTTTAATTTTCATACTACCTTATGTGTTGATACAAATATTCCACAACTACATAAATATACAAATCTTATGCAGATGAGATTGTAATCGATCATGTGATAAAGATCGTGCATTTACATTTTAATATTTTACACACAAATGTACTGAAAAGATTCGGTAGTGCACCTTAAATAGATCGAATCAAAATAAGTACAAACAGTTGGAATTGTAAATTTACGGTATTAAAATTATTACTAATTCCATTCCAAGGTAAGATTAAGAGCAGACATTTGAGTCTGCTCTTTATACAAAAAAAAAAAATTAATCAAATTGAACTTAAGTGGAAATAAAGAAAATAATTTTCTGAATAAAACAAGTGTAAACCAAAGGAATTGATATTTGCTGTCATAGAAGATGGAAATATTTGGGGGACGTGTATTTTATACGCTTTTTTTCTCATTGTTTATATTCAACCATACTTGATTGTCTAGGTGACTTTGTTTTACTTTCTACCAAGAAATAATCATGTGATTTTGTATTGTCTGTTAATAATTATAATTACATCCCAATCAATATTAAAAAATAGAAGATTTGCTTTTTCTTTATAAATGTATATTTTAATAGAATAAAATAACGGAAGCGATACTGGACATTGATTGCAAATGTACACAAACAAAACCAATACAAACATCATTTCACTTCTAACCTCAAAACACTGAAAATTTTCGTTAGCCCATACAACAAAAATACTGTACCAGGCATGCTTATTTTTCATAAAAAAAGGTTTTAAAATCTTTCTACACAGAAGTAATAAAAGTAAAATGGGGTGGAATTAAAAACGAAAAAGTGCCAACCCATACATAACACGTTTAATTGATATGCATTTATAAGTCGACACATGGAAAGCACACACATATACACACAACAAACATGTACGAATATACACAATTGACGGAAAAGTTTCGTAGTTTCCTTTACTTTAATGCCATTCTTTAATGCCATTCTCCTCACATGTTCATATGTATTATCTTCGATGCTAGGTATTTACGAGTATAATTGTGTTCACTAAATGACAAAAACGAAAACTCTCGAACGTGTTGCAATACAAAAACCCACACAATTACATTTTTATAATATTTAAAAAAATATTCCAACAATGAAATTCATCTGCTGACTCATCAACAGACAAATATTTTCTCTCATTCCACAAAATATGTGTGTGTATTCCAAAAACAGGTATTTCTTATAAAAAAGAATCCATACTTTCCTTAGCAAATATTTTCTTTCTAATTTCTATTATAAATTTTCTAACAAAGAATGTTTTACAAAACTTACACGGGCAGCCATTTTATACACCACTACTACTAAATATCCATTTAACTGCACGAACTCATAGCATGATTGTTATATTAAACGTCTTCCACTTCCAAAATTAACTGTTCTGTTGGAAATACTTGAAGATTTCTAGAAAAACTTACCGAATGTATTTAAATTCTGGATGGACATACGATATTAAAAAAAATACCAACAGCCAAAAAAATCGTGTGCTTCTCAAAGATGTATTGTGTTCAGAGAACTTTCCTTTGTTATTTGTCGTTTCTTTTGCTTCACGCGTTAGTTATTGGTTGTTTGAACTAACTTGAATTTTCTTTAATACTTCAAGTAACACTCAATATAACAAAAAAATGTGTGTCAACTTTACGAAATGCTATGCTTCGATTTGATTAGCAGACAATGGAGCCGTACACAAATTGTCATCTGCGTCGTGCCGTTAATAGTGACGGCGGTGGACCTTTTTCAACGTGGCGCAAAGGCCGCATTAAACAGCGATACCTAAAATTCGACGTAGCGTACGCAAATATTCAATTTTCCCACTATGGTAAGATTTTTTACGTCCGTATTAGCCAAATACGCCCGCTCCATATCTTAAAATCTATCAACTGTTTACTTTGCAAAAACTGAATATCTATAAAACTCAACATTAAAGAAGCTAGAAAAATGCAACTCTGTGCTGGAGTTATATAGTGTCAAATTGATTTTTAAATATGCAACAGCTGGCTTTGCATATTTTTAATTTTTATACCCTCCACCATAGTATGGAGGGTATATTAAGTTTGCCATTCCGTTTGTAACACCTCGAAATATACATTTTAGACTCCACAAAGTATATATATTCTTGATCAGCATAAAATTCTATGTCGATTTGCCGATGTCCGTCCGTCTATCCGTCTGTGGAAATCATTCTAGCTTCCGAACGAATTGCTAAAATTTTACTCAAATGTATATTATGTCTGTAGGACTTTTGGTATTGAAAGAGGGCCATGTAGGTTCCCCATTTTTATAGTCCCCATATAACGATACCTCCCGATATTCGGTATTTTGATGCTTTTAGCGACATTATTCATTGGAATTGTTTCAAATTTGGTATTTGAAGTTCGTAATGAATACTACAACCTTAGACAAAAAATTGTCTGTACAGGTCCACGTTTTGGTATAGCCCCCATATAACGGTATGTCCCTATATTTAGTATTTTAGCGACATTATTCATAGGAATTATTTCAAATTTGGTATTTGAAGTTCGTAATGGATATTGCAGCCTAAGACAGAAAATTGTCCGTGCATGTCCACATTTTGGTATAGCCCCCATATAATAGTACCTAACTATATTGATGATTTTAGCTACATTATTCACGGATTTTTTGGGGACAATATTGTTCTACCTTCTGTAATTATGCCATGTGTTAAACTTATATTTCGTAGTTCCTTCTTGAAAAATGGGCGTACAGCTGGCAAGAATTTTGCATTTATTTCCCACCAAATATTTTGTTATATTCTCGCCTTTTAGGGGGTATAAAAGTCAAGGAAGAACATAATCTAAAGCAGAAATGATTAAATTCTATTCTGCCTAGAACAAGTATAAAGACAATAGACAAAGATTTTCATCATAAGAAAGATTTCCTACATAAGAATTAACATCAGATGAAATCTTAAGATGAAATGAAATGCTATAATTATTACAGGTAGCAGCAAACCCCAGTTGATTTGACTCTGTAGTAATACTAGTGTCAAATACGATATGATATTTTGTGATTTAATTTCATTTCCTGATATACAATAGGCATAAACTTTTTTATATAAAATCTCACTGCAGGGCAATGTGAAAATATTTTTTGCCTAATAATAGAAAAATTCGCTGTTATACATTACAAAACGCCAACTCGCAGTTGCCAAATTTTAGAATTTTACTCTGATCCAGAATATGTATACTTTGTTGGGTCTAACATGAGTATATATTTCGGGTCAGAGTAAAATTCTAAGTCTATTTAGCGATAACAGTATGTTGTAATCATGCTATATTTAAAAAATTATCAATTTGTATAGCGTTCAAATTTTGTGCTTCCGTATTACCTATATACGCCATATCTTAGAATGTACCATATAAAAACATTTCAAATATGTATACTTTCATAAATTTAACCAATTGTAATATTTTCTAAATACAAAATTCCCTTTTTTCATTCGTTTTTATTTTCAACACATAATTTTTCAATTGTCAAAGTCGAAAATGTCAGCTCTTAAATTTTGTACGCCCGACGTAATACATAATAAATACATGCATGGTACAATAAAAAGGTAAGGTAGAGCTCCAAGCTGATTACAATTTTTTTCTAAGTGTGCCCGACTTCTGCCAATTTTGTGTATGTATTTGTTGTTTTGAAAAATAAAAAAAATATTTTCAAAATCAATGGTTGGATGAAACTTAAATTGCGGGGAGCGCATTAACAATATTCTGACAGGAGGCGGGCATAGCCTCAGTGCTGTATTTCTGTAGTTTTACGAAGCTGCTCTACCTCCTTATTGTACCATGAATACATGTGTTTTTCGTGTTGGGTGAAATACGTCGACCAAGTACTTTTTTACGCTCGACGTATTTCGGTAGAATTCATATAAAAACATCGACGTCGTGCGTAAATTATACGGTATTGTTCATAGCAGAAGACAATGAACTTTCAAATCTATTTTAAAATGAAAATTTAAATGAAAAATTATTCAAATTCGTTAAAATTTTTGAAAATGCATATTATAACAACCTCGTATTGGCGTCGTATAAGAAAACGTATAAAATTATACTTAGTTTTGAAGAAGCATTAAAAAAAACGTTGACATATTAATGTTTACAAGCGTTGATGCATCTACCTGTATTCTTCTACCTTGGTAGGGGTATTATTATGTTCATTTGCGAGCATTGCAATTTTTTATATATTGTAAAGAAAAATCGTTTATCTTAGTATAAAATGTTACATTCTTGAAGATCTGAAGTTACAGCCAAAATGTAAACCTGTCATATTGAATATACGCTACAAGCAACGCATTGTTAATATACGCGGGACTTTCCATTTAGACAATATATAAAGCATATGCTTGATAAGCTGTTGTGGTTGGGAACGACCGATGATTGAAACGGAAATGGCCGTGCTTGACGTGAAATCAAGTCTTTTTGTTTTCGGGTTTTCAGGAGGTGTGTGGTATTTGTGCACATGTTGCGATAATTTTTTTAATTTTATTTAATTTTAAGTTGTTAAAATTCCAGGTTAATCACCATGCCGCCAAAGTTTGATCCTACTGAAATTAAGTTAGGTAAAATACAGTCGAATTTAATATTTAATACAGAAATGAAACTAACCTCAAGCCCTTTACAGTTTACTTGCGCTGCGTTGGCGGTGAAGTCGGCGCCACATCTTCCTTGGCCCCTAAAATTGGTCCCTTGGGTTTGGTAAGTGTTAACTAAAACGTGACGATTGCTGAACAAGTGTGTACTAATTTGTGTGTTGGTATTCGTTTTTGTGTATTTTAGTCACCAAAGAAAGTTGGTGATGATATTGCCAAGGCTACCTCCGACTGGAAGGGATTGAAAATCACAGTATGCTTAACCATCCAAAACAGACAGGCCACCATCTCTGTGGTTCCCTCAGCTGCCTCTTTGATCATCAAGGCTTTGAAAGAGCCTCCTCGTGACAGGAAGAAGCAAAAGAACAGTAAGTAATTGCTTAGAATGCTGCAACAGCCATATGTGTGTGCGTGTGTAAACAATTTGTTTAAATTTTAGTTAAGCACTCTGGTAACATCACCTTCGATGACATCCTTGCCATTGCTCGCACCATGAGACCCAGATCAATGGCCCGTGGTTTAGATGGAACATGCAAAGAAATTTTGGGTACAGCACAAAGTGTCGGTTGCACCGTTGACGGTCGCCCACCACACGACATCATTGATGACATTAACAGTGGTGCTGTTGAAGTTCCAGAAGAATAGATTAATATTTTTCGTTGCATTGTTGATTAGGCAGAGTGACTAAAAATATTAAAATCTTTTGTAAGAAAAAAAAAAAAAAAAAACCCCAAGTGTTATTAATTAAAAACGTGCTGTGGTGGGTAGATAAATACTATCGTATTGCAAAGTGAATTTGTGTCAAAAGCATTTCTCAATGTTACTCCATTCGAATTACGCCGGCAATACGTAATAACATTTTATTTTTATTTAGTTTTCGATCTTTTTATATTGCTTTGTTTTTACGGCGACTTTATACTTAGTCCTTTTTAACAATGTTTTTTTCCATCAAAGTCACGGAAAAATGTTTAATGCTTAAAAGGTACTCAAATCAATTGTTAGTTCTTTTTTCGCCGTTAAAACAAATTTGCATTTCCACTATTATTTACATACGCATAATTTTCGTGTTTATAAAAAATATTTTTTAAATTTATGAGTGCAAACACAAACAAGTTTTGCAAATAAATGTTGCCTTTTATCCTAAATATTTGTTTGATGTTTACTGGTACATCCAATTCGGAGCTTAATACTAACATCAATAAATATCAGATTTAGGTTTATCAAAAAAAGTTCAAAGTTGAATGATTCTATAGAAATTTCTTCTTTAGAAATTGACGAAATGTTGCCAGGAGAATATAGATGACACTTTTTTTCATTGCATGACGACGAAGAAAATAGTTCTGATTTACATTTGTTTGAACTTTGAATTGTCCAAAAGTTTAATTGAACGGAAAATATTTAAATTTAAAATTGAACTGAATTTGTATGTTTACTACAGAACTAACAAGTGCGACATTTTTAATTGAAGCTCTCTTATGATTTTTCAAAGAATCGAGACCTAGAACACAAAGTATTATTTTGTCTGACAATTCAATTGATTTTACGAGAAACAATTTTTATACACTCAGCCGTATGCCTAGAGAGAGTACATATCATTTGATATGGCCTCATCGGTTTTAAATCCTAGGTCTCTTTGGACATAACCCGTTTCAGGAAATTTGGAGTCGATCTAGGGATGTCCGTTCGCCCGTCTGTTTGTCTGGCTGGCGTTGCGCACGATAACTCTCGAAGGGAGTATCCAATTTGATACATCGTAATATTACTGTCAAATATCGGTCAACCACTTCTGGTACATCCCGCATAAAAGGTCAACATTTTGAAAGAAAATAATTTACTGCACAAAAAGAGAAAGGATAATACGATTTTGCTCCAACTTTGCAAATCCTAATATTTGCATTAGTGCTAGGTCATGTGCGAAAATGGTCAAAATTTTGAATAATTATAACTCTTTTAATCTGTGTTATAAGTGTCCGGTTGTCTTCAAATTGCATACACCCCAATATTTTTATTAACCCAAGGTTTGATGTGAAGACGGGATAAATCGGACCACTCCTTCTGGTACCTCACAAAAGGTCAAAATTTTTAGTATCCATGAAGCTCATAAAACACGAAAATAACGTCCGATTCCATTCAGACTTGGCACATCCCATTGTTTCTATCAACAGAAGATCTGTTTAAAGATGGTAGAGATCGAGCCATTTCCTCTGGTAACTCCCCCACATAGGGTTCAAGATTTTGAAACACAAAACGCTCAAAGAAAGCGAAATAAGCATCCAACTCTATTCAAATTTCACGCATACTTCCACATTTTCCGTACTTCCACATCATTCTTAGGTTGGATGCGAATTGGTCAATATTGGCCAACTACTTCGAAACCTCCCCCATAAAGGGTCATCAGTTTGAATAATCATAACTCAAGGCTGAGGTATACATCTGTCGGCAAAAACGACTGATACTAATTTACTTGTATTTTTTTGGCAACTTTCAGAAAAGTTATTATTTATCGATATATAGATATAATTTTTTCTTATATATCATCATCGGTAATAGAACCTGTTTATGGGGCAAAAATTAATAGCGGGCCTATGGAATTATTTAACTCTTGAGTATTTCTCAGTTTGGTTTTCGGCGGCGATGCAGTACGACTACAGACTTGTTATCTCTTATTCATTGGATGCTGGGTTATTGTAAGACCTTGACTTGTCAAAGTCTTTTGATTCGACCAACCATGCATGGTACAATAAAAGGGTTGGGCTATGTTAAAAATTTTGATTTAATTTTTTTAATTTTCAAAATGCTTATTGCAACGTATGCATCGACAAAATCTACAGTTTTCGTAGAGAAAAAATCCTTTAGAGATATATAGAACACGATTTTGAGAATAAATGTTGTCCTTTCATTCAGTTTTCGCGATTTTCAATTATTTATTCAATATTTATTTATTTATTTCACCGATTTCTGTAATACAAAGCCTATAAGACCATATACAAGTATTACTAGTTACAAAATTAAACCTGAGCTTACAGTAATAATACAACTCTTTCATATTTACTAAAATACACCATTTTTTACTTGGCTCCCCAGCCATCTATTATTAAGAAAAGAAAAATATATAAATGTCCTAGACAACAATAACTCTAGATTAGTCCATCATTTTAATTCATTGCCAAATGAATTCGCAATTTCCTTTTAAATACATTATTAGTATGCGAGAATATTCTAAGTTCATGTGGAAGCACATTCCAAACGCGTGCATTTCGAACTACAAAGAATCGCGCATAAATATTCCTACATATCCTAGGTATAATCAATTGAGGGTTTCTGGTTGAATGTGAAAAGGAAAAAATCTTGCTAATGATGCAGGTTCACCATTTTTAACTACATTATAAAATCCTACCAGGATACGATAGGATATGAAATTGTTAAAGTAACAACCCAGAAAACACTTAACATAGTCAGAAATATGAATTCTTAAAGGAATCTTATACACAAAGCGTACAATTGCATTTACAATTTTCCGCAACCGAGAGAGATGTCCACCAATGCAACCTGACACAATCTCAATGCTATATAAAAAGGTAGACATAAGCAATGCATGAGCTACCTGTTTCTTAACATGAAGAGGCATATACAAATTTGATGCGTATATTCGGGGTAAGCCGTCGGTAAAGCCGTCGAAATTCCAAAATGTGCAAGAACTTACACCGCAACAGAAAGAAAATAGACTCAAAAGAGCTAAAGAGTTACTTCGCTTGGCCGAAAGTGGTGAATTGCCGAATTTGATTTTCTCCGACCAGAAAACATTCGTTGTCCAGCAGTTTGTAAATAAACAAAATTATCATGTTTACTTGCCAAAGAGGTCAGCTGAAAATGTGCAACTTCTGTTGGCCACCAGAACTCAAGCGCCGGCCATTATGATGGTGTGGGTCCCCATAACAGCCGATGGTCGCTCTCTGCTCGCATTAATCGACCGTGGCATCAAAATAAATGGCGAATATTATCGCGAAAATATTCTGAAGAGTGTATTAAAGCCTTGGGCACGCAAACATTTTGGTCGCAGACCAGCAGTCTGAAGTTGGTTGCAGTTTTTTCATCTCCCCCTGTATGTTCAAAAGTAATCTAAAAATAAGACAACAAGAAGACTATTTTCGACAATTTGATTATAAACTTAGTAGTTTTTACACAGTTGACTTTTTGAATAAGATCTCATTTAACAATTTTCGGAGCATATTATCTTTCTAGGAGAACGGTTCTTCATCTCAGGGGGATAAAATTGTTCGCGGGACAAAACAATAGTATATAATTGTGTCGGTATATAAAATATTTTGTTTTTCACATTTGTTAAGGCGCTTGAAATTATTTGCTAGGATACTGGCATTTTGTTTTTAGTTTATAAATAAAAAACCTAAATTTACTCTTCTTGAAAGTGTGTTTAGGGAAATCATTGCATTACATAGAACCACTTTCATTAAATTAAATAAAGTCTTTATAGACATACGCTGCCTATTTAGAAAATATTTGTCTATAGTGGAAAATTTTCGTGTAATAAAAGATTTCAAATTGAAGAAAGCAAATGCCACGAATATAAGTACATACAAATTCAAAAAGAAAAAAAAAACTCAGTTTTAACAAAATGTGTATAACACATACCAAACCACTAAATTAATTAATTTTTACATAACAGCCAAAATTCAAAGAGATCTAAGTATTATCTATGTTTTGTTTCCACCTGTGTAGTATCTCAATCCCAAAAAGGAATGTTAAAAATTAGGGATTTTCAGAAATTAGTTTTTATTGATCAAATATAAGAAATTGAACGTCAATGTCAATTTTGTATACCACGTAATAAACTCTTAAACATTATAGAATCTGTCAGCTTTGTATTTGACTTGGACCGACAACTTATAAATCACGTTTACCGCTATAAAATAGACTTAAAACATTAGGTGTTTCATTTATTAAGGGATTTTATGTTCGTTCAAGATTTGCGGAATCCCAAGGCTAGTTGGTTGACATGTTTCTATATCTTTCCCATTACAAATGAAATAAAGTAGAGTGGAAGATAAGATATAAAAAATCACTTCTATTTTCTTTTTTTGTTTTTGGTAATTATCTGCTTTTGTAATTTAAATAACAATTTAACATTTGTTTGCATAAGAAACTTAAATATACATACATAATACAGTTATTAACAAAATAATTTTATTAATTTTCTATACAATATTCCAAATTTCTACCGAAAACCAAAATTATTTAAATACAAATAAGAAGAAAAGGAGCAATGATTACAATTTCCACAAAACGAGGTTTTAAATACTATTTGTTTACAGAGTAAAAGGAATTTAATAAAAATATAGGCATATAAGTAAATAGATCGATAAAATAGGCATATTTGTATATATAACACAGAAAACTTATTTAAGTAACAATTTAGGTTCTTCTCAGTTTCTAAAAAATACAACAAAGCATAGATCAAAACTAAGGGGAACGGAAAGTTTTTATACATCCTATGGATGCAGCAAGTTGTTAGATGTGAATAAGCATTTTTTTCTTTCATAGGCATATAACACAAAGACCGCTTTCTTTCGCTAGGGTACATTAAAAAAATAGGGTTTTGATTTGTAAAAATAAACGAAGGTTCTTCTATGTTGTTGTATTTGAAAAAGAAACTAAAATATAATAATAAAAAACGACAAAGTTAGCTTTTTTAAAGGCATAACTCCACAAACAATTTGGAGTTCAAGGAGGAGACTAAGTGACGTGTGTATTTTTTAAAACTAAGCTGTTATTTTAGATCTAATTCTTCTTCTTCATCTTCCGGCGATGATGGTGTTGAGTTTTGTTGGGATGTTTTGATAGCCGTTGCCGTCGTTGTTGTGGTATCTGTTGTAATGTTGTTCATAGTGGTGTTGTTTGCCGTAAATACGTTCGTTGATGACGAAGCACATCTCGCTACAAGTTCCGCATATGGTTTGTTGTGAAGGAAGCAAACTAAAACCACGGTCATGTTATCACCGCCCAAACCACCCATCTGGCAATCGGGTGCCAAACAATGATTCATTAATTCTTCGCAAATTTCTTCCGGATGCATGCCTTGACCGATTCTTGCCCGGCAAAAATCAATAACTTCTTGATTAGTCATAACATCCCAAATACCATCACATGCCAGAACAAGGAATTCCCAACCTTCGTCAATTGTGCGTGTCTCAACATCGGGATAGGCTGAAACGGTATTAAATTAAATTTTCGTGTAATAAAAGATTTCAAATTGAAGAAAGCAAATGCCACGAATATAAGTACATACAAATTCAAAAAGAAAAAAAAAACTCAGTTTTAACAAAATGTGTATAACACATACCAAACCACTAAATTAATTAATTTTCACATAACAGCCAAAATTCAAAGAGATCTAAGTATTATCTATGTTTTGTTTCCACCTGTGTAGTATCTCAATCCCAAAAAGGAATGTTAAAAATTAGGGATTTTCAGAAATTAGTTTTTATTGATCAAATATAAGAAATTGAACGTCAATGTCAATTTTGTATACCACGTAATAAACTCTTAAACATTATAGAATCTGTCAGCTTTGTATTTGACTTGGACCGACAACTTATAAATCACGTTTACCGCTATAAAATAGACTTAAAACATTAGGTGTTTCATTTATTAAGGGATTTTATGTTCGTTCAAGATTTGCGGAATCCCAAGGCTAGTTGGTTGACATGTTTCTATATCTTTCCCATTACAAATGAAATAAAGTAGAGTGGAAGATAAGATATAAAAAATCACTTCTATTTTCTTTTTTTGTTTTTGGTAATTATCTTCTTTTGTAATTTAAATAACAATTTAACATTTGTTTGCATAAGAAACTTAAATATACATACATAATACAATTATTAACAAAATAATTTTATTAATTTTCTATACAATATTCCAAATTTCTACCGAAAACCAAAATTATTTAAATACAAATAAGAAGAAAAGGAGCAATGATTACAATTTCCACAAAACGAGGTTTTAAATACTATTTGTTTACAGAGTAAAAGGAATTTAATAAAAATATAGGCATATAAGTAAATAGATCGATAAAATAGGCATATTTGTATATATAACACAGAAAACTTATTTAAGTAACAATTTAGGTTCTTCTCAGTTTCTAAAAAATACAACAAAGCATAGATCAAAACTAAGGGGAACGGAAATTTTTTATACATCCTATGGATGCAGCAAGTTGTTAGATGTGAATAAGCATTTTTTTCTTTCATAGGCATATAACACAAAGACCGCTTTCTTTCGCTAGGGTACATTAAAAAAATAGGGTTTTGATTTGTAAAAATAAACGAAGGTTCTTCTATGTTGTTGTATTTGAAAAAGAAACTAAAATATAATAATAAAAAACGACAAAGTTAGCTTTTTTAAAGGCATAACTCCACAAACAATTTGGAGTTCAAGGAGGAGACTAAGTGACGTGTGTATTTTTTAAAACTAAGCTGTTATTTTAGATCTAATTCTTCTTCTTCATCTTCCGGCGATGATGGTGTTGAGTTTTGTTGGGATGTTTTGATAGCCGTTGCCGTCGTTGTTGTGGTATCTGTTGTAATGTTGTTCATAGTGGTGTTGTTTGCCGTAAATACGTTCGTTGATGACGAAGCACATCTCGCTACAAGTTCCGCATATGGTTTGTTGTGAAGGAAGCAAACTAAAACCACGGTCATGTTATCACCGCCCAAACCACCCATCTGGCAATCGGGTGCCAAACAATGATTCATTAATTCTTCGCAAATTTCTTCCGGATGCATGCCTTGACCGATTCTTGCCCGGCAAAAATCAATAACTTCTTGATTAGTCATAACATCCCAAATACCATCACATGCCAGAACAAGGAATTCCCAACCTTCGTCAATTGTGCGTGTCTCAACATCGGGATAGGCTGAAACGGTATTAAATAGAGGTATACAATTAAAAATAAAAAGATATACATAAATTAGCAAGTAAAAAAGCAGTAAGTCCGGCCGGGACGAACTTTGAATGCCCTCCACCATTTGGAACGAATTAGAAAATTTTCAAAAAAATAAAATCCATTAAAAATTCTGTTAAAATCTTTAAAATACCTAATATCGGATTGTGCCGATATATGGGGGGTATACGATATTGTGGACCTATATAGACAAATCTATGTCTGAGGGTAAAGTACTCACAAGGAACTCCTTGTGTGGATTTTCAGATAATTCCACTTGAAAACGTGGCTAAAATCATCAAAATACCGAATATCAGTGGGGTGCCGTTATATGGGGGATTCCGTTTCAGGGGGTAAAGTGCTCAAAAAGAACTCCTTGTGTGGGTTTTCAGACAATATCATTGGAAAATGTGGCTAAAATCATCAAAATACCGAATATCGGGGAGTACCGTTATATGGGCGCTATACGATATCGTTAACCTATATAGAGAATTCTCTGTCAGGGGGTAAAGAGCTCACAATGAACCCCTTGTGTACAATTTCAGACAATTCCATTAAAAAAATTGACTGAAATCATCAAAATACCGAATATCGGGGGGTACCGAACTTCGAACTTGACCTGCCGGCATACAAAAGAGAGATCTGTGCAAAATTTTAGCTTCCTATCTTAATTCGTTTAGACGTTATCGTGATTACAACAGACGGACGGACGGACAGGGCTAAATCGTCTTCGAATTTTACGCTGATCAAGAATATATATGTACTTTGTTGGGTCTAATATGATTATTTCGACGAGTTACAAAAGGAATGACGAACTTAATATACCCCCAAACTTTGTATGGTGGAGGGTATAAAAAAATAATAATAATAAAATTAAAGTTGTTGAAAAACCGAGACAAAATAATTCTTCATAAACAAAAGAAATTCAACTTTCAACTGTATATAAAAACATATTTTCATCAAAGTAAAAAAAAAAACCGAAAATATTCTAGAAATTGTTTTGATAAAACTATTTGCCCGACATAACTCCCCAGCTGTGGAGTGGAATACAGGGTGATATGACAAAACTGTAACCAACTTCAGACTGCTGTCATTTCTAAGCCACTCGTCCGACAGCCGTTAAAATTCGTCTAGTTACAGCTCATTATATTGCTTACAAGCGTACAAAAGCATTTTGGTGAGAATTTTCCAGAAAAAAGTTATTCGTGATGGAATTTAAACGAGATAGTGTGATTTCTTTATATTTGGCTGGCAATCGTTAGAGCACTCCAGCATTTAAATGTAAATAAATATTTTGTGTCTGATACAGGTAGCGTAGCCCGACGTCAAGGAAGTGGACGGAAAAAAAGCAACATCAGCAGAAATGGTTCGAAAAGTAAAGAAGCGACTTGATCGAAACCCGCGTCGCAGTGGCCGAAAAATTGCTCGTGAGCTGAACATATCGCAATATTCCATTCGGCAAATATTGAAAAATGAGCTCGGGGTAAAGCCATTGAAATTCTAAGGAATGCAAGAACTTATACCGCAATAGAAAGAAAATAGACTCAAAAGAGCTAAAGAGTTGATTCGCTTGGCCGAAAGTGGTGAACTGCCGAATTTGTTTTTCTCCGATGAGAAAACATTCTTTGTCCAGCAGTTTGTAAACAAACAAAATGATCGTGTTACTTGCCAAATAGGTGGCGGTTGGCCACCAGAGCTCAAGCGCCGGCTATGGTGATGGTGTGGGCCGCCATAACAGCCGATGGTCGCTCTCCGCTCGTATTAATCGACCGTGGCATCGAATAAATGGCGAATATTATCGCGAAAATAGTATGGAGGGTGTATTGAAGTCTTGAGCACGCAAACATTTTAGCCGCAGCCTTAGGACATTCCAACAGGACGCAGAACCCTCGCACTTAGCACGTGCCAACCAAGAATGTTTACAAAACGAGGTTCCTCGCTTCATTTCCAGCGCACAATGGCCAACAAAATCTCTGGATACCAATCCGTTGGACTATTGTGTCTGGAGTATTTTGGAAAGCAAGGTTGGTACTATGCCAATACCAAAGTATCGATCAACTCAAGCAAGCGCTTCGCCGCGAATGGTTGAAAATACCGCAGAGCAACATTCGGGCAGCGTGTGATGGTTTCATTGGCCTTTTGAAGGTCATAATTCGTGCCAAAGGTGACCAATTCGAACAAATTAAAACTTATTCTTAAATTTGATGCTATTTCCGACATTTTTTGCTTTCATACAATAAAATTTAAAAAGAAGGCGTTTGATTTTGTTCCAGTTTTTTATCTCACCCTGTACATTTTAGACCCCACGAAGTATATATATATATATATTTATATATATATATATATATATATATATATATATATATATATATATATATATATATATCTTTGATCATTTTATTTTTGAAATAATGCACCTTCGTAAAGAAACATTAATTCATTTGTAATTATGGCATACAATTTTCTTCACATTTATTTCAAATACTTTGGAACAATGAAAAAAAGATGCATTGTCATTAATATAAAATTAAAAAAACTGCCGGCATTTAATTAGTCTTTCAGTACCGCATAATATATTATTGTTTTTCATTGTTATATTCTCTTTTCACCTGTGCTATCAAAAGAAAGGCATGTCTGTTTAAATAAAAAACAAACGAACAAGAAGCTATTACGTCGATCACAGCCACCTACGCATATTTTCATTCACAGATCACCAAGAGGAATCCAATCTCACAATATTTTGATATAATATTCTTGAACAATGAACAAAAGTATTAACATAGACGAGATACGTTTCGAAAATGTGAGGAAATGACGCATACAACAAAATACACATAGAGTTTCACTAAACATCCATTTACATATTTTATAAGCCAACCTCGTACATATTATATCATTTTAAGGTATTTTGTTTTTTTTGTTTGATACAAAAACATAGTATTGAATATTAAGTAAAAAATTTTCAAGTGTATTTTTTCGAATCTTTATAATATAGTACGTACACACAATGTTTTGTTTCATTATACATACATGTGTACACACATATACGCAGTTTAGTACTCAAAATAAACAATTAAAAACGTATAAATTGTGGAAGGTAATGTATTAATATACCTCCTTATAGCTCATTCAAACATTTGCAAGGAAGTAATTATTATGTCCTAAAAACAACAATGATAAAGCCTGTATTAAGTCGAAGCTTAATACATTGTTCCTAAGCAATGACAATACCAGCCAAAGTACATGATTGAATGCTTGAACTCTAATCAATAAGTGTCACATCTCTAAAGATCATATTCGTGAATAACACATTTTAAGATATCGATTGAAATTGCACTTGACGAATTAAAAAAAGTAATACACTATAAAAGCAATTATTTTCAAATGGTTCAATGGATATCAGTGTTAAATTTCTGATCAATATAAAACAGGATTTGAAGTATCTGAGTTCATAATAAATTCAATATACTGTTTTGTTGATATATGTTGAACTCAAATTAAAAACAGTAAAATAATATAAGTCGGTTCTACTGACTGATGTATACCCCCAGCCATGACTTATGCCTTCTTAAACTGTTGACTCTTACGGGGGAGGTTCCGAAGCAGTTGGCCAATATTGACCAATTCGTATATGACTTAAGACTGATATAAATGTTACAACAGATTTTGACTATATCGACTACTTACAGTACTTTATATGAGATATGTGCAAATTTTTGGAAAAAGTGGAAATATGCATAACGTAACAGATACGTATTCCATTTTTATACTTCATCTAATGCAGATAAAAAATATTGGTATATGCAAAATTTGAAGGAAATCGATCATTTATATAAATCATAAGTTCTGATAAATTACATATTCATATCAGATTTCTGGATAAGGGAAATATTTAGATATAGAAAGTTGCAAAGAATAGCCGACTTGTTTCGCAAGTTATGACAGATATAAGTTTTGGAAATTGTGACCCTTTGTGGGTGAGGAACTAGAATTGGTTGGCAGATGTATATCATCTTCACAATAGATCTTGTGTTAGCAAAAATGTTTGTATGTGGGAAATTTGAAGAGATGGATGGATGGAGTTAGATGCTCATTTGTGATGTGTTTAATTTGAAGAAAATCGGGCTCTTACATCACATTTTATAACAGTTATAATTATTCCGAATTTCGACCGTTTGTGGGGGAGGTACTTGATGGAGTAGACCGATATCCGAATTCGATCTAAGTTTGACAATAATATTACGATATACCAAGTTTGGATCAAATCGGATACTTCCTTTGAGAGTTATCGCACCAGCCAGACATCGCTAGATCGACTCCAAATGTCCTGAAACGGTTTTGGTGCGAAGAGACCTAGGGTCTAAAACAGTTTTTTCGATGAGGCACGTTTTGACCGTATCCAATGATAACAAATTTAACTTCATGAGTTTTACAGATATTAACCAGAAATTTTGAAGAATAAATAAAAGAATGTCCGAATTTATATTAGGATAGTTTTCTGGCGGCAATTCTTTGTGTGTAGGAGAGAGGGGCAAGGGGAATGGAAAAGGAAAAGTGCTCGTACTGGCAATTTCCTGACAATTCCTTCTTTGTGTATTATTTTTTGTACATAATATAATTGAAAATAAAAGACAATGATGAAAAAGAAAATTGCTGAAAAACATTTGTTGTATAAATGCCCACTATTTACACAAACACACTTACCTGTGACAATTTGATCCTCGGGCTTCTTGTTCTCATTGCGTTTGAATACAAAATCACCTAATGCTCTTGATAATGCCAGATTACCATTGACGCGATTGAATTCAACCCAACCACCACCTTCGTTGATACGTTTTGATTCGGCTTCATTATTTGGTTTATGGTCCATTGATAACGTCTCCACTCTTCCGTTAATGCAAGCAACGGCACGCGAGTCCCCGGCATTGGCACAATACAAACGATTATTTTTAATTAATACCACAACGGCTGTTGAACCGGCCATTTGTTCACCCCACGACTCATTGTATAGCATTTCGTAGTCAATGTCCAAAAATGCCTGCATGCGAAGGATGGAAAGAATTACAAATTTTGTTAGAATAATCATTGACGCGATGTACACAAAGACGTGTATTGCACTTACTTGCTGCAAAGCCTTTTCAACATTATCCTTGTACTCTGGTCTCTTCAAAACAAACTTGTGTAAATGTTTACCAGCATATTGGGCTACTGTTGCACCGCCATGGCCATCGTAGACGGCAAAAAATGCAGTGCCCGGATCGTCGGGCAATGACAGAATGTGTGTGTGCGAGTCTTCCATATTTATGCGCCAGCCCTGCATGCAGCTTGAGCCCACTCTGTACAATTCATTTTGGCAATATGATGATTCCTTGGCGGTTATTGGTTCTGACAGCGTTTGGCCCATATTTGTTTATTGAAATTTTCCTGCAATTGGTAGAAAGTAAAGAAAAGAATGTCAATTAAAAGTGTATTCCATGTGGGAGCGGTAATTTTAATATTTGTGTTGTGCGATAACGTGTAGTCTTTGTTTCTGTTTCAGCTTTTTTACTTATAAAACAACAACAAAATCTTATCGCCACCACAAAAGGGTTAAATATTCGAACTGACCAAGGAAAAACGAAAAGAAACGTTGACAAAGACAGAACACTCAAAACAAGAAGTAAAGAAAATATCTTTGTTGGAGAAAGTTCAAATATTTTTTTTTTTTTGTATAAAAACAATTTTTGACATTTTATTTAATGTTGTCACGAGACAAAACTAAGGCAAATTCTTTTATACAGTTATTTTCGATAACGACAAAATAAAGAGTACCGAGATAATGCCTCAAATCAACTGATGAAAAACAGTGTGTTTATATGGTTTCTTTTTTTTTGTCAAATCAATGTTGATAACAATGGGGGCTGTGCAGCTTATAGTATTTCCAATCCTGTAAACCTCAGACTTTTCCTTGGTAACCCTGGAGTTTCGAGTATTATTTTTATATCTTAGTTTTAATGCCATTTTTATGGGATACAAATGGATTGCATTCACCATAAAGGAAAAAAAATTTGTAGTTACAGGTATGAAGTCGTAATTTTATAGCATTGTATGAATAAAAAATAATATAATGATAATATTGAAAAAAATTAATTTTTTCCACAAAAATTAAAATTTTTCAAAGGCATTTTGAACTTTGAATGAAGTATGCTCCAGTATTTCGGTAATATGGACGGACAAAATGTCTAAATGTGATGTGAGGATGTGACTTTTGATGCGCAACGCAATTAGCTGAAAACATGCATTGAATTTCCTAAAGCAATTGTCATTACATGATATCTATCAAGTGTCGAGGAGAGACAATGTTTGTTTTATGTGAAAAACTTATATATTTAGAATTATGTTCTGGAACAGAACACACACACACACACACACACACACACACATATATATATATATATATATATATATATATATATATATATATATATATATATATATATATATATATATATATATATATATATATATATATATATATATATATACATATTTTATTTTCAAAACTTTTCCTTTGACAACATTTTATTGCCAAAATGGGCATTCACAAATCCACTATACACTTAATTAATTTTAATTAATTTTTTTCCACAAAAATTAAAAATTTTCAAAGACATTTTGAACTTTGAATGAAGTATGCTCCAGTATTTCGGTAATATGGACGGACAACGCAATTACCTGAAAACGTGCATTGAAGTTCCTAAAGCAATTGTCATTACATGATATCTATCAAGTGTCGAGGAGAGACAATGTTTGTTTTATGTCAAAAACTTATTTATTTAGAATTATGTGGGAAAATAGGATTCTGGAACAGAACATATATATATATATATTTTATTTTATTTTCAAAACTATTCCTTTGACAACATTTTATTGCCAAAATGGGCATTCACAAATCCACTATACACAACATTGACACAGTTTGAGTTCATTTACGGCGCGAATTCACAAAGATTCAATTTTAAGGTCGTTGTTCGCCTTGACCTCCGAACAATTCTATTAATTTCTTTCTCAAACTTTAATCTCCCAGTTTTTTGAGTATGCTTTTTATATTATTATATATTAAGTTTGTCATTCCGTTTGTAACACCTCGAAATATACATTTTAGATCCCAGAAAGTACATTGATCAGTATAAAATTCTATGTCGATCTAGCGAGGTCCGTCCGTCTGTGGAAATTACTCTAGCTTCCGAACGAATTGAAGTAAGTTGATAACAATTTACTCAAATGGGTATTATGTCTGCAGGACTTTTGGTATTGAAAATGGGCCATGTAGGTCCACGTCTTCGTATAGCCCCCATGTAACTGTACCTAACTATATTCGGTATTTCGATGTTTTTGGCGATATTGTTCACCGGAATTGTTTCAAATTTCGTTATGATAGTTCGTAATGAGTACTACAGTCTGTGACAGAAAATTGTCTGTGCAGGTGAACGTCTTCGTATGGCCCCCATATAAAATTTAATTTAGTATTAGTAATTTAGTATTTAAAGTTCGGAATCGTTACTACAGCCTATGACGTAAAATTACTTATGCAGAACCACGTCTTTGTATAGCTTCCATAAAGCTTCGGGGAATTTTTTTTTTGAAAATTTTTAAATTCCTACAGAATGGTGGAGGGTATAAAAAGTTCGAACTTAGCTACTTTTTTACTTGTTATAATTTTTATTCACAAATCTCATCGAATGAGTTAAGTTAAGGATCTCTTCTATTTTCTTGAATTGGAGTTTTGTGGCTGGGGTTTTTGAATCTGTCATTAGCTTCATTATCAAAACAAAGTATATCAAAATACCGAAGACTGTCGCAATTAGGGAAAAAATTGCAATCTAAAAGAGTTTTGCAATGCTTTTTTATTGTAACATGCTTGATTCTTGCAGGTTCTGGAACAGAGCAGAAATTGTTAAATCAATATATTCTTCATCATATACCGGAGAGTATAATTAATATTGTACGGAAATATAATTGGGTTAATAAAACGTCTTGAATCTGACAAAGCTCGAGAGGGAATGAAAAATGTCGGTCATATGCAATGTTTCTTGATAAAGTTTCGTCCCCAATAGATAGAAAAGTGATTGACTCTTTTTGTTTGTTGCTCCAGCAGGACCAGCATGCAAGGCATAAACATTCGCAAGGATAAGCCACTCCCAATTTTAAATGTGATATTTTCAAGTAAAATTTTTGTCAGGATTATTATATGAAAAAGCGGACAACATGGCTTCAGGTATATATAAAGCCGCTTGCCCTCACCGCCCTACTTGACTAATTTCTACTGTTATAAACATACTTGACGTTTTTTAAAATAATAAAATAAGCTCACCGAGTAATTTATATTTCAAAAATTGTAAATGCAACGTTGAGCGATACGTAATGTCCAAATAACGTTGGGAAAATGATCAATTGTTAAGACCGATTAATTTAGTAGCCAATGAATGGACATTGTTATTTATGCCATCTTTGCTTTAAAAATGTAACGTAAATCGTCATAATTAAACGAATGAGTGAGATAAACATTCTCCGCAGAAAACTATTTTTTAGTCAAGTAAAAAAAGAAATCATTGAAAAGGGAATGTGTGTATCATCATTTATTTTTTAAATAATCTTATGGTGTAGAATCAATTCGTTTATGTATGAAATGAAATAAACCTGGCAAGCGAAGATCTAACAGAACAGCCAGTTCTTTGGCTAACATGCAGTAATAGTTTTCAGTTTATTTTTGGGTCTGTTTTAAATTCAGAATAAAATTTATTTTGAACTATTTTTAAATGCAACGACATACGCATCGGAATGTTTTTGTTGCTATTTCTGTCTGAAGTGATTAGAAAAATGACGATGTGAAAGTGAAATTTTTTGCACAATTATAGTACATATATAGCGCTATATATTTAAGTGTCGTTGATAACACGGGTTGTGAAAAAAGTTCATGTCTCTAAAACGACTAAGTTTTAAATTATAATATTTTATCCCCAAAAGTCTTGTGAAAAAAAAAAAATACAAAAATATTTATAAATTTTAAAATTTGATTTGGAGTATCCCGCTGTATTGTCTGTAGTGAGACGCTCCAGAACCTTTTTGTCGTTATCCTTATGCAAAAAGTAAATAACAAGTAAAAAGGCTGCAAGGCCGAACTTATAAATCCCTCCACCACTTGGAACAAATTTGGCAATTTTCAAGAAAATAAAATCCACTAAAAATTCTGTTAAAATCTTAAAAACACCGAATGTAGCCATTAAATTAGGGGCTATACGACGACATGAACCTGCATAGGCAGCTTCTGCCATAAGCCATTACAAAATTCAAATGCGAAACTTTAAAAAAAAATCGGTGAATAATGTGGCTAAAATCATCAAAATACCGAATATAGGGAGATACCGTTATATGGGAGCTATACGAAGACGTGCACCTGCACAGACAATTTTCTTTTATAGGCTGTAGTATCCATTACGAACTTCAAATGCCAAATTTGAAACAAAATAACACCATTGTTACATGACTTCTAGCTTAGATGCTTTAGTAATTTTGAATAAAATTAATAAGCAAACAAGTAAAAAAGCTGTAAGTTTGGCCTGACCGATCTTTGAATACCCTCCACCAATTGGTACAAATTTGGCAATTTTCAAAAAAATAAAATCCGTTAAAAATTCTGTTAAAATCTTAAAATCCGAATGTAGCGGTATATTAGGGTCTGTACGACGACGTGGACCTGCATAGGCAACTTTTGTCAAAAGCTATTACAAAATTCAAATGCGAAACTTGAAAAAAAATCTGCTAAAACCATCAAAATTCCGAATATATGGAAGAACCAGGGGAGTTGTAAAACGTGGACCTGCACAGACAATTTCTTGTCATAGGCTGTAGTATCCATTACGAACTTCAAATACCAAATTTGAAACAATTCCGGTAAATAATGTCGCTAAAATCATCAGAATACCGAATATCGGGAGGTACCGTTATATGGGGGCTATACGAAGAAGTGGACATACATGGCCCATTTTCTGTTTTATGCTGTAGTGTCTATTACGAACTTAAAATACCAAATTTGAAACAACTCCGGTAAATAATGTCGCTAAAATCATCAAAATACTGAATGTCGGAGGGTACCGTTATATGGGGGCTATACGAAGAAGTGGACCTACATGGCCCATTTTCAAGTACCAAATTTTGAAACAATTCCGGTAAATAATGTCGCTAAATTCAGAATACCGAATATCGGGGGTACCGTTATATGGGGGCTATACGAAGACGTGGACCTACATGGCCCATTTTCAATACCAAAAGACTTGCAGACATAATACACATTTGAGTAAATTTTTATCAACTTACTTCATTTCGTTCGGAAGCTAGAGTGATTTCCACAGACGGACAGACGGATAGACGGACTGACGGATAGT